AAAGTAATACGAATTAACATTATTTTTAGTTAAATTTACAAATATAAATACATTTAATATTGATACACGGCGGCGTTTTTGAAGGTATCCAATTCGCAAAGGAATTTTGAGCGTATTGATGGATTTCAAAAAAAAATTCGTTTATAATGGAATTTAGAAATATTGTATTTGTGAAATGCACGCTGTGCATGTGGCGGGGAACGATTCATGATTGTTCTGAACTAAACCATGCCTTCCGAGAGGGATGGCTCAAGCAGCTCGACAATGAGCACCATGACCCGCTAGATCGCGTGCACACTATAGCTTTGTGGCATGGCCATCATGCACGTGGATGATCTCCTTGGTGCCGGATGGCTGAAGAGTCCTCGATGCCAAGCTGTGGTGAAGCAGCTGATCGTGCTGGAGGTTCCTCCCTGGATTCTGAGAGTGATGGAGGAGATGAGGGAGTGTTGTCGGTGTCTTGCTGACAAACGCCAAGGCATTGTACGATGCTCAGCACAAACAAACAATCAATAGGCGTTCCCTGTTAACACAAAGTGCCTTGCCCGCACTTTGGGGTTTATGAAGTGCTGCCTCTGTCTGGAAATCTGCGCTTGGCGGTTCAGAAACGGCTCTGCCTGCCACAAATACACTTCGAATTTCACAAAGTGCTGCGCCTGTCACGAAATCTGCACTCGAGGTTCACAAAGTGGTACGGGTGCGTGGAAACCTAAATTTAATCATTACATTGTGTTGCACCCGCGCAAAATCAAAGGGACTTGAAGATCATTGGAGCGGAACTTTGCATTCTCAAGAAGAATCGGTTCCTTTCTGCTTTCACGAAAAACGACTTTGTCCCCTACCCGCCACAAAAAGTGACCACCGTGCACGAAAGCCTGCAGTCTTGGTTGATTGGGTCATGCTTCCAGCAGCACTACATAAGGGAAAGGACATGCAGGCACTGCGGAAAAGGTTGGTCACCGACAGTTTAACGAGTCCGACATGAGGGACCTTGGCGACAGAAGGAGACAAATTTTCTTTCTGATTTTTTTAAGGAATTCCATCATCCATTCCAATGCAATTTCTGATTCGATTTATTTATCCATACTCTTCTCCAATACATCAGGCCAACAAGACCTGCCACAGTGTTCAGGGGTATAATGACAAGCAAAACGATAAAAAAACACAGGAAGGAAAGAACGGACACAACGCGCATGGAGGTTCACAAAGTGCTGTGTCTGCCACCAATCAATACATGGAAGTGTACAAAGTACAAATCTGCATATGGAGTTTGATAAAGTTCTGCGCCTGCCATGACGTCTGCACCTCAAAATCCCAAATGACAAATTAAGGTTATACAGAGCTGTTCCCTGCCATCAAACGTCGTTGGGTAAAGCTTGATTTGCCAGGTTCGGAGGCACCCTATATATTCAAAAACACAGCATTTTGCAAGTGCAAATCTGCATATGAAGGTTTACAAAGTTCTGCGGCTGTCACGAAGTCTGCACCTCGAAATTTCTACATGATAAATTGAAAGTTACAACTAGCTGTAGCCTGCCATCAAACGTTGTTGGGTGAAGCTTGAATTGCCAGGTTCGGAGACACCCTCTATCTCACTTGGCCATTTTAGGCATCAGGATCTTTGATTCCTTTGGGTGGTGAGCCTTGCTTTTGCTCTGGGTTCACCGTTTGGCCATTTTGTCCACTTCAGGATGAAGTGTGCTTTGAGAATTTGGTCGCTAGGGACCGTGCCGTTGTCTTTGATCATTTCCCACACATCGTGCTGGAAGAAACTTTCCAGTTCTTTCTTCTTTGCCTCCATGAGCGAGGCAATCAGCGAGCGTCATTCTTTGCTGGTGGAGTTGATCCTTCCGTGCTTTGATGCCCGGCATGCTGTGGCTGGGTCAAAGAGCTGGTTTTCGTGGGATGTAGTGGCGATGATGCATCAGCTTGTTGTTCTGAATTATCCATTTGTCCTTGCAGACGTCCAGGGTCAGGAATCCATTTTTTCCTTCCAGCCTGGTGGCAATGTTAAGTCATCGACTCTGTTGCGATCAGTGTCGCAGGTGCTGAGGGTCAGTGCCATATCTGGATTTGGTGGTGCCGGTTTGGCATGGTGTCGGACCTCGTGTAGTGCTGTGAGCTCTTGCTTGTGGTCCATATCGGTCCTGTCCAGGTGCGGATAGCTGGAGAGAGAGTGTCTCTTGTCAGTCAAATCGTGTTCTCTGGTTACGGAAGCTTTCTGTTGGTGCTGGTGGTGCATAAAGATGCTGCTGATGTTCTGGAATTTGGCTAGCTGGAGATTAGTCGGGTGTTCAAGGTTTCGGTACATCCTCTAGATTGTTTGTATTTGTTGACCATTTTGTCTCTTGCAATCTGGTGAGTACGCCCCGGTTGTTGTCAAACTATTGTTGTCAAACTGTTGTTGTTCTGCCACTGCCTGTTGTGGCTGTAATGCTAATTGCTGTTCTGCTTGTTGCACTGCATCATGTTCTGCCGGATATGCTTCTTCGGTGGGCGGCCAGTACTCGGTGAGCATGAAGGTGTTCATGATGTGGGCCCCCTGTTTGAATATGTCTGTGTTGTTGCTGCCAGCTGCTGCGGCTCTGTTGCCAATGTGTGGGGAGCTGCCTTCAATAGCGAGGTGGCAGTGATTGCTGTGGCAGACTCGCTCGAACATAGAAGCCTTGTACAGTGTTGGGCAGGGGGTGCGCGTGAGTCCTGGCCGTATAGATAATACATGGCTTTTCAACTTTGCTTTTTTCGAGGCTGGAACCATATTGGCTTTGCACCAAGTATTTCTGGTCTTGTAAGAGATCGCTTCTTCTCAGCATCAGCCAGCCTGTGATCTCGGTCGGCAATTTGATGCCGTGTTTTTCGACTTCTCGGAGCGCTTTTCGATGTTTAGCGCAATACGACATCAGTGTCTGGTCGTAGCGCCTGGTGAGGCTGTAGAAGAACTTCTTGAATGATCTGGGCTGTTCGATCCGTGTATCGTAGCGGAAGGTCTTGTCGAGGATTTCGATCACCTGGGGATGAATCCTCCTTCTTTGTCTTCCCTTGTCGATTCAACCATCGGCTCGACTTGCTTCCGGTCCTGACAGGATTATCAGGAGGTTGATGACTCCTTCAACCATCTTCTTCTGGTAGAAGTGAATCCGAGCCCTCCATTCCTTATAATTTTAAGGCCTATTACTGAAGGTCGGCACCCAAGAATCTTTACTTGTATCCACACTCGAGGATGATGCAGCAGATGAACTAGTAGCTAGCAGCAAACAAGTTAGAGCCCTAAGCTCCGCTACCAATTTAAGGATAGGTAGCTCAACCGTCGGAAAATAACTCTCGAAATTCACGATCGCAAATGAAAAACCGCTTTCAAAACCAGCCGCGGACTTTTCGCGGACTCGTAGCCATCAGCCTTCAAGGTGCTCAACTATCGGGAGGAAAACAGGTAGTTCGAGCAACAAAGCGGCAAAGCTTCGTCCACGAACCTCAATAAACCTATACAGTAACGAAAATATATAATAGTATCCCATTTATAAAAATATTATATCGATCGCGAAATATAAAATATCGTATCCATCATTAAATCTTTATTTAGAAGTTTCCAAAATATTATACCAATTATATAAATTATAACAAAAAAATAATATCGACCATAATCCGAAATTATTCCGTATAAATCGTTCCACAACATAATTTACCAACTTCAAAACCACCCTTTATAAAAAAAATGCAATATTTCATACGTCCTCTTTTAAATATATATTATATATTATGAAATTTATATATAAGCATAAAAAATATATTATATTTCCCATGAAATTTATACATAAAAATTCATAAAGTGAAAAAAAAAAAAAAAAAAAAAAATCATAAAATATTAAATAATATATAAATATATTTTTCCCTTTCCAATTCAAACTTAAGAAATAGGAGATATGAAAAGTGTTTGTTCAAAGGAGCCATTAGTGGAAACCACGTAAATTCTGGTTAGGACAAAACCATCATCGGAGATAAATTCCCAATAACCATCCCGAAGATGAACCGTATTGCCGTAATAAATAGGCTCAAACCCACAACCGCCCAAAAACGAAACCCTTCGCCAGGTATTCTTAGGATTGTACTATCCAATTTGCGAAGATTAACACCAACCACAAAAGAAAAACAAAAAAACGAAGAAATAGGACAAATAAACTTAAGAAGAAAGAAACACGAAAGGTAGGACAACGAGAAAAGAAAAGAACGCGAGAGACAGGAACAAAAATGCAATGTTCGACATGGTGATTTATCCCCTCGGAGGCGATCTTTCGTAAATATATGTTCATATGCACTTTAAATGTTCAAACATATACTTTCGAAATGTTCAAAAAGATTCTTAAGAAAATAAACTTGCCCCATGGCTCAGATCATCGGTGAGCATTGAATCGGAATATCATAGGATTTGAACTATCCTAAAACCATAAGAGGCTCACGAAGACGCTCCCCAGGAGAGAATTGACGTACTTCACAAAACAAACTCTAGGTATATATCCCCTCGGGGAACACCTTTCGTGATTAGAATTTCATATTCACTCTTTCTGAATGTTCAAGAGGGTTTCAACTATCCTGAAATCATGAGAGGCTCACGAAGACGTTCTCCAGGAGAGAATTGATTTTAGAGGGGGGGAGGGGGGGGGTCGTAGTGAAAAATAAATTCCAAGGGGGCGGGGGGGGGGGGGGGGGGCTTTTTTGAAAAAACAATTCGGGGGGGGGGTGGGGGGGGGTCTGAATTGAGCGATCAATTATTAGACCCGGACGTCCCAACACTTGCTTCGCAAGACAAACTCAAGGTATCCCCTAAAGGGCTACCTTTCGTGACAAAAAGCAAAACAAAACAACAAAAGTGAGCAACAAGAACAAAGCAAACCTTCAATGGAAGACGTAAGGCTTTTAAAGTAACTTGCATTTCAAGTCGATGCCGATGTCAATAGTAACTCTTTAGTGTGATTGAATTGCATTTAATGCCTTCATTTGTTGCATCAGGGCGAGTCTATTGGTTGATCCACCCATCTTTCAGTTCCGTACAATGTCCACGGCGGCCTGCAATCACACCAAATCAAAATCAGATTGTGGTGCAACGAATTCAGCAAAACACCGATGATCCCAATATGTCTTCTCCCAACTGCTACTTGCAACCATTTTGCAACGAACCGCTCCTGGAAAGCTGCGAGGGCTCAGGCGTCTTACCTCAAGACATTGCAAATCCAAAGTAAAACAGGCAGCTTGTGATTTTGTCCGAACATCATCGAAACAAACCACAGATCCTAAATGCATGAGTGAAAGCGAGCCCTTGCAAATCGCCGCATCCCAGGCCAAGGAGCAAAACGCATCATGGTCCTTGCGAGAACAGTTTGCTTGCAATCCAATCAATTAAATTGAGTTGTCAACAATGAGCCTTAGGCCGCAGTTCAAGAATGGCGTGTTGAAAGCCGCGGGGGTGCGACGTGTGACCAACAGAGACAAGAAAAGGGAAGTAATTTTACAGAGCCAAGCACACTTGGCTGAGGCAGTGCTACTCCAAATGCGAGTAGGCTCAAGGCAGCCACACAATCTCAACAAGAAGGTTCTCCTGCCTCGCAGCCTTCTACATTTACGACCCGCGCCATTCCAACCGGATGTGAACTGCATAGTTACAAAGGGCCCCAACCCGCTGTTGTAACACCCACCATTCACTCCAGCATGTTCGAATTTGTGTGCAGAGCATGGGAATGACTCATGACCAAGAATCATTGCCCCCAACCATCTCACCGACAAACAAAGTTCGGAAAATGGCTCAACAATAACCCAGAGCCAAGCAGGCCCGCAAAGGACACTGCGGATAACATCGTTTGAGTTGTTCTGCAAATCGGTCCTGCGTCAGGCGGGTCTCATCGCAAAGGAATGTCAAGCCATCGCCATCTGGTACTCCAATCGGTAGAAACCAAACGGCAACCTGGGTGATTGGGTTATGTGTCCCCACAAACAGCAAATGGCCTTTTCTTTGAACACATCTGTTGACTGCACAAGGAACGCATGTTTCCTGCGAAGCCATGCAAGACGAGTCTGGACTCCCTGAGTGCAGGGCATTCTGCCCCATCGTGGCTTTGAAGTTTCTAAAGACACCAAGATCATACCTGAGCAGGTTAAAAGAACCTTCAATGACACAAGTTCAAAGAAGTGCCATGGCTGCTTTGCTGCGTCCTTGTACGGGCAACATGTTGCAAATGCTGGCTGCCCGTGGCAAAACTTCGATGCCAATGTTCTCTTACCAACGCCTCTTGCAAGTGCCAGCAAATAGCCCAAGACTACGGCAGGTACAAATCATGTTTCATGAAAAGACAAGTTTGCAATTCTGGGTGTGGTCCTGTGTAACTTTCTTACGCAGCGGCCTGCTTGGTCAAATGTGTGCATCAAACAATCGGTATGCAGTGATCCAACTCCAGCCTGACTTGCCAGCCTGTAGTTTGGGGTTTTCACCCTCGTTGTGATTTAGTGACAGTGATCCTCAACTGTCCCACCGCGCCCAAGTCAGAGCAGGGGCTCCGGCAGGCTGTTCGCAAAAGCCTTGCTTGACCCATCCTGCATGCATGCATGTGATCGAAATCCACAAGCTGGAAAACAATCATACACAGGGCACCTTTGGCACAAACTTCTCGCAGAACTCGATTGTGGTCATTCCACGTGCGATGAGCCTCGGCGCTTAAGCGTTTCATGCTGGAAGTCTGCGCAAGCTCAATCATTCTGGCCTCTTTGTAAACGATGCTTCCGATTGTTTCTTGAACTTCCACATTCCGTGATTGTTTTGGCGCACAGTTTAGATCAGGCGGAGCTTTTTGACACATCACATCATGAAGACCTGACCATGAGAAGGCTCAGATTCGGACCATAGGTGCATGCCAAGGAAGGCCGAAACCTTCAGCAAAAGTCTTGAACTCAAGGCCAAAACATGACGAACGAAAAGTTGGCAAGAATAGTGGCATGTGCTGTTGCGTTTCGATGCCAACGGCTGGACAACAAAAATCTTTGTCAAAACTTTTGCCCATTGCTGTGAAACAAAAAGGAGTTAGAAGCCGAATCACAAAACAAACCAGTAGAGTCTCTGTTTGTACTTGTGAAATCTTGTGAACTGTGGATGCTCGTTTATGGTCCAAGAGTGGTCAACTTACTCAAGAGTGCACAAAATAGAAGGCTCCAAATGTCGTTTGTCAAGGACATGCTCTTTCATTTTGGGCACTAAAAAATTGACCATGGCAGCTTAAAGAAGTAAACTCCCTATATAAATGTAAACAAAAACAATTTGTTGCTGGTGGCTGTGTGGAATGATTTCCTTACCCCAAAAGCTGCCACTGAGGATCCCAGCCAAGCCGGCAAGAACAAGCCTGCAGCCATGGATGACATGATCCAATTGCCATAGCAAGGTCCTTTGTAAAGGTGTCCAAGCCAAGCTGGGTGAGGCACGCTAAGAACTGCCCGAAGAAGACCAAAAACCTGTGGCCACAAAAACTGCAGGAAGGCTCTTCAACGTCGCTACGTCGCTGGCACGGCGAAACCCAAGAAGTTGGGATTAGGATGGCGACAGACTGTGAAAGCATACAAGGTGACTCATCTGTATGAGGGTCCTTTCGAACCGGACAGTTGGTTTCGATATGGTGTCCAATCATTCAAGTGAGATTCAACCACTTGACATTTGTAGCTGTTTCACAATTGCCCTGCTCAGTGCAGTGGTTAAGAGTAACAAATTGAACACTGTCCCTTGAACCCCTGAGGCCAGTTTGCAGAACTAGACCTTCTTCATCTTCATAGTTCATCGCTCTCACCATACTTGAACGGACAGCTATGAACATCACAGGGTCAGTGACGCGTCCTGCCCGCGCCCAGTGAACTGACTTCCCCTTCGAGCAGCAAGTCTCCAAAGGCGGCGGCGCCATCGTAGATGCAACGATGTACAGACTCCGCCATAGTGAATAAGATCAAATAGCAATCAATGGCCTCAGATGGCACGACTGGAGGGAATCCAAACTGTTGCAAGGTGATGAGTGATGAGTGGTGGTGTGATTGATGAGTTGATTATGTTGATTGGATGCTTTGAGGTGTGGTGGTGATTCATGTTTTCTCAAGAAACCTCTACTTTTCCACTCTTGTCACTTTTCCGCTCTGGACCCCTGGCATCTTTGGCACTTTCTGTATTTAGCTTCTGTCTGGGAAGCGATGCTTGGCCGCACTTTTGCCCTATCTCCACCGTTTTGGCTTGCACGAACTTTTCACGAACGAAACGTCTACTTTGCCATACTTTGCTCCAAAAATCCTAACTTGTGCAAGTTCTTTCTTCTGTCTGCTTCAGTGAGAAAGATTGCCGGCACCGAGATGGCACACGGTTTGAAGAGCATCAACTTTCGACTGAGAATTGGCTATGGTCGAGACCAAGAATTACATTGATCCTTGATGGGGCTGACATCAGTTCAATCAATCCAAGCTGTGATTGGTTGAGCCACTCTTCTTCTGAATTCTCATGTAAAATTGGCAAGAGGGGGGTGATGTCATCAAAAATCACGTTTCGCTTTCTCATCTTTTCGCGGAATCCGTGCACTTCAGCATGGCTGGTGTTTTCGTGTCGGAGCTTTTGGAACAGCTCCTGCATCACTAGCAAGGCTGTGCATGGAGCAAAGAAAGTTCCGAATGGTCCTGAAAATCCACTGCCATCTTCCTTTTCTGGAGATGAAGGCTCTGGAAGGTTCCTTAACATGTAGCTCAGTATGATGCCGAAATGCAGGTTCCTCCCTGCTCCCTGCCAAGGCGCTGAGTAGACAAGAAGCAGAATGAAGAACTTGTAGTTATAGAAACCAACCTCAGCTACTCGCCCCGGTAAAACGGCTTCTCAACTGTGTCTGTCAAAACATCAAAAAAGAAATAGATGATGTAGAGATACGTAGAGTATGAAATAGAAAAATAATGAACACGAAAGTTCTTCTCAAGGTCTCAAACATGAAAACAATAAAATACATAAATAGAAGAAAGTAAAGGACAAAAGCTCGAAAAGGTGTTAGCTTCTTCAATAGCTCTTTACAGCTGAGCTGACAGCTGTGCCCCTTTCAGTGAACTCTCCAAGCTATGCATGTGCAGCACATGCGCAGCACTGCATGGGATTCTTTGGGCCGTTACCCCCGAGCATGGTGTCCAACATCAACCGAGGCAACTTCCACTTTTCTTGGAAGACTTCATGGACTAAGCCGCCGAATAGCTGTGATTGATGGTTTGAATGATTGAACTCAAACAACGTCTTTTACGTCGGGAGGCCGGACAGATTTCGCCACGAGACTGTCCGTTCATCCGGAAAGCATGGTGTTCGAAAGATGTCAATTTTGATCAGAAACGTCACATCACACACCGCTGCCAGCTGTGGTGATTATATCACCGTGCTTTTCAGGAACCATGGTTACTCCGTCTGTGCCAATCGGAAGATTTTCTTGAAACCTCGAAGCCTGTCACGACGAGAGCTCGACGATCTTCCTCTGCTAGAACTATACCCACTGCACTGCTACCAGAAAGGATATCACTGATATCACATGCTGTCAGCTTGCCTATGTCCCTAAATCACAACACGCCTTTGTTTCTTGGGAGAAGCTGGAAGGACAAGGCCTCACCTGGCGTCGCTGTGCTTTTGCGCCGCAAAGCCACCCGATCCACATCTCGTCCAGCGTTACCATCCAAGTGGCACAGTTGTAGATCCAGGGGCAGTGGTGGTCCATCTTCAGAACACATGTGCCTCGTGGGGTCTGTTCACTACACAGCACAGGTCGATTGCTGTCGGTCTCTGGTGCAAAACAGATCAAGCAAATCAAGCTACATGGAACTACATGCCTCCAACGACGCGCGGGACATTGGAATTCACTTTACAACATGCCAAGATGATCTACCCGGTGCAAGAGAACCAGCGTTGCAACTGGAGCTTTGTTCTCCATGATCCGTCCTTCAACATCCTCAACTTCAACAAACAAAATCAACTCCAAGGCGCGACAAACCCTGCAGTGGTGACAGCGATCTGGCTTGAACTTGCCACACCACTTGCAGTGCCTGGCGTCGACACAAAAAAAACACAGCAGCCACGAAGCCAACCGCTTGAGTCTTTAGTGGCAACCACTACTTTACTCTTTTTGTTGGCGAATTGCAGGGCCTGCGTTCTCCACTTCTCTTCGTCTCTTGGACAGTCAAGGGCGCCGCATTCTGCTGTCGTGGCAGGTACCTGGCTGTCGGGTGCGGCTGGTGCCCTTTCGGTACAATCGCTGCCCTTCCGTTCAACCACTCCAACACACCACCACGTTGGTCCACGTCAGTCCACGTTAGTCCCTATGTCAGCCAGTTGGAAAGTATGGATGTCCCATGAGACTCTTGAGACCATCACGACCGAGGTTGTCCCATGTCAGGCCACTTCCCTTCGCCTACAACGACTTGGCCGAGGTGCTCCCATTTGGGATCCTCTGGGATTTCTCCCGGGTGCGTCAAGATGCTCCGTACCTGCAGAAAACAGCGAGTGGGATAGACCGCAACGGCCTTCACACGCCCGTCGAGCCCGTCGGCCCCATTCCCATCGGTTTGGAGAAGTATCGCAGAACAAACAAGACTGAAAGCACAGACCCGACCCAGCCCAGGGTGCAGCAGCGTCCGGATAGTGCGAAGCAAACTTTGCTTGTGGATGGTTCTTCTTTTCAGTCGGCCTGGGCCCTGGTCTGCACCAAAGCATCTCTGCATATGATTTCGATATCCCGAAAAACGACTCCCAAATCGAATTGGGGAAGATCTCTGGATCGCTACTCGGTGGCAACAAAAGACTGCTCCTCCGACCCACCCCAGCGTTCTCCCCTCGTCACATAGCAGATCACCAGCATCACCTGGGTCGTTCAATGGATGAAAGAGACAAACCAAAAGAAACATCGCACAGTTTCATAAATGAAGGCTAGCTGACTAACTGCATCTCCCATGGGAAGCAGATACAGGATTTCTTCCGCCAATGGTGGCACAGAATTTCCAACATCGAAGTTGGACAACATACTGCAAGTGAGTGATGGTTTTCCAAACTTTCAGTAGTCCAAAAGAAAAGTGCACGTCAGAAATACACTTTTGCAACATGATATTCATCCAGGATAAAGGAAGGAAGGAAAGAAAGAACGCAGGAAAGAACGGTCCGAAGAACAAGTTTGCTAGAAGTCTAGGAGCCAAATCAAATGCACAGGGTGATTGAAGGAAAACTCTCCCTCACCTCAACCTGGAGGAGCTTTCTTGAATGAACCCGAGCCGAGCCCTTCTGTTTTAGCTTCCTGTCCCCTACCAACCCAGCTACTTGTATCAGCTATGACTTATCTCTTCACGGCCAAACTCCCTCGTAAGAGGGAAGAACATACCACGTATTCCACCAATCCTGGTAAACCAAATTTGTAAATGTTTGTAACTTCACTATTTCTCAAAGGTAGGAAAAAGGACATAAAGTAAAGGACGCCCAAAGTATGGAACATTCTAACAGGGAAAAACCAAATGAAGAAAGTGAAAACGGAAGGAAAAAACATGCACTTTGGAATCTGTCCACTTTCCTTTCTAAAGTAATTCCTTTTCCCGTATTTTCTTTCCCTTTTCTTGACATATCCTTCAATTTTCATGGTTTCCTCATTGTGTTTGAGGTTTGTTCTTTGAACATCTACAGCTTCCAGACCGGCCACAATCAAATCCAAAAGAAGAACACACATTGTCTAATTCATAAGAATTTGTTTGGTGTGCAGCACCCAATTCTTCATATGTTCAAGTTTTCTGAATGGCAGATCGTCCAAAAATATCTGAACCGATTCAAGCAACCTGTGCAACATGCGCTTGGAAAAAAAGTAAACTTTCTAAAACCATCGTAGTCATCTCCTCTTTTTGCCCAGTAAACTACAGTATGGTGGACTCAGTCGATAAAGGCTTGAGTTGAGAAAAGCAAAGCACACCAGAATCCAATTTTGGTTGCGTTTGATTCACTCAGGTCCACCTTGGTCTACTTCACACTGCCCTGCCGCCTGTTCATCCTACCTTGCTCACTCTACTCTACCGCAATCCATTCGTGTACATTCTAATTGACATTCGTTTGCGCTGACCGATAAAATGTGGCTGTTGGACAAGAAATTCAGATTTAAGGTCTCAACCTCAAAAGCTTCTCGGTTGCGCCCCAAAAAGCTAAACGGATAGTCTTCGGAGGACACCATCCTATGAGATTCGGTAGCACAGGCCGCTCTTGTCAGCCTACAAGTGACATCCAGTCAAAGCATGAATCATTGCCAGAGTGTTTGCACATTGTGTCCAAATTGCCAAAGTGACACAACCATAATCTCAAAACGCTTTGTTTAAGTGTTCCACAGTGGTAAAGGGGTATTCACGCAAAGTATGGGTTGTGCTGGGACACTTGTGCAATTATTTCCATGAAAAGAACCTCCAAAAAGCATCAAGCGCGCAAGAGTTGAGTAAAACAAAGCCCACAAGAATTGTAATTCGGCCAGCCCTGCTCAGTCCATTCTACATTGCGCTACCTACTTGTCCTCTTCAACAGTTTCCTTCTTGCCTCCAGCAGTGTCCTTCTTGCCTCCTTGATAGAAAAGAGACATAAAGGAAGGAACACAGAAAGGGAACCAAATGAATAGCGTGAGCTATCCCATGTCCAGTAGCTTCTAACTTACTTCAGCTAGTAGGTGACGCCTACTTGATCAAAAAAATACAAGAACAAAAAGGGAACCAAAATTAGTCTCGCATCTGACACTGACGAGTCGGGGAGCCCTATTTTGGTCGGCCAAAGTTCGTGTCCGCTCTGCTGGGCTCTCCAGGCTGTGGTGGGCACGAAAATCGCCAGCTGACACCAACCTCCGCACGCTGAAGCTTTTCTTTTCGGATTTTCTTTTTAGAAAGCTAATCTTTTAGAAAGCAAAGCAGGATCTCTCTTTAGTTGTGCTACAAGACGCAGTCCCACTCAGCCAGTTCACACATGAAACAGTGCAATGAACTGAAACGGCAAACAACTGCACCCTTTTCTTCGGTCGAACTACGTGGTATTCCAACCATTGGAATACCAGTGCCTGGCGTCCAAAACGATACGACGCCTCATCTGTGGGGCCAAGCAGTGAGCCAACCGGTATACTCATCACTCTCAACCAGCCCCACAGCGCTGGTTGACACCCTTTGTGCACATTGTGTTTGGGAATCTTGGAGGCGTACACCAATCCAACAAACCAATCACTGAGCTCGCTGGTCGCAATGTCCAAGATTCCACTCTGAATACAAAGAGCCAGAACGGAAGAAAGAAGCAAATGTAAGAGAAGAAAAGAACAACAAAGGACAAAGAAAGAAGAAAAAAAGAAGCAAGGATCGGTCCAAAGGTTCTAAAAAGGACCCATGCAAACCCTCCATGGAAACCCTCTGAAAAGAGCTCCCTTCGGATGTGCCTCGGAACTCTGCACGAGGATCCGGGTGGAAGGCGTCCTGTGTTGAACAGCGTGGGCGGAGTGGCGTTTACACGGGGAGTGCGAAGAGGCTTCAAAAAGGCTCTAGCAGCTGTTGTGGGTGAGGCGAGAAATCGTTGAAAGTAGGGCTAGGTACTGATCTGCAAAGCTTAAAGCCTTTCGTTTACTTGGAACCTCTCAGAGAATTGGTTTGCAAAACAAGCATGATTTGGCATCGCTACTAGGAACCCGGACATCGCTACTAGGAGCAAGGACGCTACTAGGGGCTCCTGGCCTTACTACTAGGAACAAGAATCGCTACTAGTTAAGTTTCCGTAAAAATCTAGGAACCAAATCATTAGCGCGAGCTATCCTACGTCCATACTAGTAGCTACTTAAACCCTTACTTAATTGAGTAGGCGCCTACTCAATTAAGTAGGGAGGGGGTGGAACGGGCTAAAAAAACATAAAACAAAAAGGAAAAAAAGAGCATCACTTCAAGCGGCAATGCTTTTGTCAATGTGCTTTAAATATAGGTCGGCTTCCTGGACGAAGGGATGAGTGTCACACAGGTGGGAGGTTCGAATGACCAAGAGGGTGGCTTCTGGGGAATCTGCTCGAGTCCAGTGACGGAGGGAATCCCAAGTCTGAAAACTATCTGATGTTGTCCAACAAGCAAAGACTCAACAAGCTTGCAAGGCTTGCACCAGTTCTGAGGGTTTCATACATCTTCACCATGTTCACTTAGCTGACCGCGCAGTGCTTACATCTGCTTAGCATGTCCATTTAGACCATTCAAAGACCAGCATCCATCAGCAATCCACCCACAAACACTGAGTGTGATGTTCAATCAGTTAAGTTTACCTAAACATCTAGGAACCAAATCATTAGTCCTTGGTGCGAGCGCTTCTTTAAGGAAGCGTGAGCTATCCCGCGTCCAGTAGGTAGTAGCGTCCAGTAGCATGTTATCTTCTTTCTCCCTGGCCTCGGGGCGTTCAGAAAATCAAGAACTCGGTGCTTCTGAACGAGTCCGGCGGGAGCCTCGGTCCTTCTGTGTCAAGAGTGGGAAAATGTGTTGGCACCTGAGACGAGACGAGACGAGGATTCGCACATCAGAGACGGTGGTGTTCCCTCTAAAGCTCCAGAGTACTCTACAGGGTCTAGATGTTAGACCATTGGCTGGATGACCCCGAATGACGCCTGCTCAAAACTCCTAGGTTTGTTAAACACGGCCTCTACTCTCAAGTTAGTTCTCTCCTGGGCATCTTATGAGAAAATCAGTCATGTGCAATAATATTGCAGAAATTGATCATCATATTCGCTTGGCACTATGCAAAGCCAAAGCAGGCCATTGGTGTACTTTCTTTCGCTTATGAATCCACAGGCTTTGACATCAAACGTGCTAGAGTATTGTTGGTGGTGATGTAGTGTGGCCATGCCACTGGTGAAATCTGATGCTTTATTGCTGAGGTAGTAGGTTCACTGCAGTCAAGTGGCCTGTCCTTTCCGTGAAACAAGACAATCCGCTTTCATTTTTGTGGAACAAGAATCAACCAAGCAAACTCACAGCGCAAACGAAGAAGGCCATAGGGTTGTGCCCGAATCTGCCACCGTCTTGGTCTGAACTTGCTATCCTCGCGGCCTCACTGAGGTGAGCACAGGTAGATGGAACCCAGCATCAGCATCGCCAAGACCACGTAGGCAATCTCAGATTTCGCTCGGCTGCCAAGAAGTGGTGTCAACAACGGTTGGAAAGCCAACCTTGGGAACAAGTGCATCGCTTCTAGTAACAAGTGCCTTACTAGTAGTAACAAGAAGCTAGTAGAAACAAGTGCCACGCTATTAGTAACAAGTGCCTCGCTAGTAGTAACAAGTGCCTTACTAGTAGTAACAAGAAGCTACTAGTAACAAGTGCCACGCTATTAGTAACAGTTTGTCAATTTGTTCATGAATCCTTTGGATCAGGACACAGCGCCATGGTATTTCTTTCCCCAATTCTATCTCCGTCACACAGGACATGTGCAGAGCTCAGCCGGCGCCCGGAAGCTTTCTGAACATCGGGGAAAACATCATATCCCTTCTAGACACCGGTAGTTCCGGCCAATTCCTTCGACTTGACGTCTTGCTGAAGTGACTCGACGTCTTACAGAGCAAAACCCAAACATAACACTCCAAACTGCTTGCCGGATTCTATTTGCATGAAAAAACCATATATATTATATATCTATCCCTTCAACTCGAAGAGAGATCCCTTCAGTGTTTGATTTTACACGGTTTTTCATCCCCTCTCTCCGCCGGGCGCTTCTGGGTGCCCCTCACAGGGAGGAACTTCATCCGCTCGCTGAAGCGTGCGGGGGGTGGTTCGAAGACCTCGCTGGGTCCGACGGGCCTCCCACGATCGGGTTTTCAAGACATGAAACTATTAATTCTAATAGCTTCTTGTTACTACTAGTAAGGCACCTGTTACTACTAGCGTGGCACTTGTTCCTAGTATCTAAATGGGAGGGTGCGCTTGAGGGTGAGCATGTACAGTTGAGATTACAAAGCAATCTATCTAAATCAATCTCATCCTCGTGGAAAAATACGATCCTTGCTTTGCAAAGCACCTTTCGAACACGTGAGACCACGCGCGGAGCGTTTGAGGGCTGGGCGCTTTCAGAGTCTCGTTGACGCAAAAAAATGCAGCGAACACCCGGGGCAGCAAGGGTAGTAACAAGAAGCTACTAGTAGCTCCTGGCCTTACTACTAGGAACAAGAAGCTACTAGTAAGAAGGTGCATCGCTACTAGTAGCAAGAAGCTACTAGTAGCTCCCGGGGCAGCAATAGGTGTCGTGACCTACTGAGAATAGAGACGGCAGATGGCCAAACAAGCACAACGCTCGCGCTAGGCATCACTCACACCACATGCGCAATAGGTGCATGATGATATCCAATAAAAGCCAAACATAAAATGCAAATCCAGATTTTGTTCGCACACTTGTAATTACATGAGATACCACGCAGTATGCATCTTCAGTTTTCCTTTGTTGAAGTTTACCATACCCGCCCCAACCGCAATGGATGCGTAGGTGTAGCCCCCCAAACGACCTAAGTTAAAGGCCAGACCGAGGTGGGGACTGAACGCGTAGTCGCGTCGATATTCCAAACAGTGATCCTATCAGAAGAGGCCAGAGCTGCATGTTTTCAACATCTTTGGTGAACAACAACTCTGACCTCTGTCAACGTCGTATTTCCATTGTGTTTCAGAAAAAACATAGCGAGGACACAACTTGGACAACCGTTGTCTTCAACATTCATGTTGGACCTTCGTGTGGCATTTGCGAAACGAAACGCCACTTGCATTGACGCTGTTTTGACGGAATGTCGTGCTCCGTCACATTGGACGAAAAAGGCGTCCAAAAGGCCGCTGCCTTACATGTATATGATGGAAGCCGATGCCCTGCTCCTGTGGAGTGTTGGTGGGCAAGGGTGACCACAACACTTACGGAATGGATCGTGCGACTCTTAATCCATAGGGGTGCACTGTAACTGTCAAAGGGTAAGCTACTAGTAATAAGTGCATCGCTACTAGTAACAAGTGCCTTACTAGTAGTAGCAAGAAGCTATTAGAAACAAGTAGGCAAAGGCTGCGAAGTCAGGAGCTGATGTATTCAAGCCAGCCATCTTTTTTTCGGCATGCAGTCTTGGGACGTCGGACACCTTGCCAACAAGACAAACATGTCTCTTTATGATGCTTTTCTTTCCTAGGTCGCTATTAGTAGCAAGGACGCTACTAGTCTAGTAGCTCCTGGCCACACTACCAGGAACAAGAAGCTACTAGTAACTCCTATAATTCTTTCGTGCCTCCTTTTGAACTTTTAGCTCTCGCTTCACGTTTCACAGCTGCCACGGCTCCCCCTCCTATTCCAACCCCCCCTACTGGTCAAAACAAAATGGCTTTCCAAGGCAGGAAAGAAGACATACAGTTGAAATTGGAACCCCAAAAACGTCACCTCCACCCTGCCTCCTCCTTCTCTTCCCTCCCCAGCAACCCCGGTTTCGCTCCAAGTCACCCCGAAGGGCATGTCGCCCAGATCCATGGGCGACGTGTCGCGACGGCCCTGGCGGCCGGGAGTCGGGCCGCTGGGATGGGAGTGGTCGAGAGGTGTGAGTGGGCCAGAAGCTTAGTAGTCATCGCTGGGGCTCATTCCGAGATTTCTGGCTACAATGGCAATTGCGTGCGCTTGCCCCTAAGCAGCTGGGGCCCTCGCACTTCGGGAGAAATCCAAAAGCCGTGGTTCCTGGGACCATTCGCTGCTTCCAAACCCTTCAAACTGACGACCTCCGCCACCTTTTCACGAGAACGGCCCGCCTGCCGCCTCAGCACTTCATTCCTCGCCCAAAACGGACGGTGGGTTCCCATCCCAACGTACGCCACCGAACCGCGAATCCGGTTTCGATCCAACTTGAATGCAGTCTTCAGCCTAATAGCGATGACCTCCACCGTGCGTAGCTTCTAGCTACGTTCGTAGCTTCTTGTTGCTAGTAGTAAGGCCAGGAGCTACGTTCGTAGCTTCTTGCTCCGTTCGTAGCGATGCCCTTTGTTAGTAGTAGCTTCTTGTTTGGAAGGCTAAAGTGGGATGTCAAGCCACAACCTAGGCCTTAAAGGCTGGTCACCAAAAGAGGGCAACTTGGAAACCCAGACCAGAAGACTCCGGGGGTGTAAACATGTGTGAAGCATCGTGGTGGACCTTGGAGGGAAGGCGATCATGGACTATTGGAACAATGTACCTCCTGTGTGGTCGCAGGCTGAATCTGCTCCCTTTCGAAAGAGGATTCTGTTGTTTCTGTTGTACTCTTTTCTGTTCTGGTCCATTTTTGGACCATTTGTGCTTCCGTCCTTTCTTTCTTCCTTTTCTGCATTGTATAGAATTTCACACTTTGAACCTTGCCTGCAAACAAGACTCAGCCAAACAAACAAACCTCACCAATAGCAAAAGGCAGGTGCAAAGTGATCTTCCTCTGACCAGGTGGTGGGTGTCTATGTCTATTTCTTGATTCTGCTGGCCTCCAAATAGATTGACATGAGATGACGACACGATTTCCCCTTGTTATCTAATCTTTTTGTGGGAGCCACGAAAGACTGAGAAGTCGTTATATCATCCGACTCACCATCGCTCTTCGTGGAGTCGGATGGCCCTTGTGGAGTCGGATGCTGATGTCTCTTCTATCCCTCGTTTTTCCCGCCCCCACCAGCGCCTCGGGACTGCGCCAAAGGCGACGCGCGTACCGGCCGCGCGGTACGCCGCGAGCCAGGCGCTTGGGCCCGTGTTTGACGGCAAGATACACTCCCTGAAGGAATAAGGAAGCTCCTGGCATTACTACTAGTAACAAGAAGCTACTAGGAACAAGGGCATCGCTACCAGTAACAAAGGAATGAGGGCATCGCTACTAGTAACAAGAAGCTACTAGGAGAGTCAGGATCAATAGAAGTGCATGGCATGGCCCATTGGATGACCATTTAGACGAATACCAAACAGCTGGTGAGACTACACTTCCATTCTTCATTTTCCTCGGGGTGTGTCATGGTCTTCCTGCAAAACTTGACCATCTTGGACTCCTTCACCTTCTGCGAATCGTTTGGGACCAACATCAATCGCCACGTCCAGCATGGGGCTCTGTGAGCTCCTCTGCAGATTTGGTGAGTTCCTCAGATCCATCCTCAATCAACCGTAAACTACATTGCCGATTCATTTTTGGCGCATGCTTGTCCAAACAATCCTGAACTCTGTCTGAAACAAATACACATACGTTTTCAATCCTCCCATCCTTGGAAGGATTCCCTATCAGATGTAAAACAGAAAGAACATGGAAGAAGCAAAGAAGCTCAATTCGAAGGTCGACTCGAAGAGAGCATTGCTCGGAGAGAGCCTTGGGGGTTCCGTTTTTTCTTTCATGATCCTGCCACGCTGGGGTGCCTTGTCACCATGGGTCCGTTTGGTGCAGAAAGTGGCATGCAACATGCAGGTAAAAGAACGGGATTGATCGCAAGAACACGTACTTGACTCAAGTGTGATGCACTAGGAACAAGGTTCGCTACGAACGGAACAAAGGGCATCGCTACGAACGGAGCAAGGACGCTACGAACGTAGCTCCTGGCCTTACTACGAACGGAACAAAGGACGCTACGAACGGACCCTTCTTCATCCGTTTTGCGGCCTTTGGACCCTTTTCCTCTTCCTTTTTTCTTCCTTTTTGGATCACTTTCCAACTCTATTGCACAAAAACAGATTCCTAGATTCCCAGATCCAACCCAACCGTCTCGGCCATTGCCCATTCTCGACTTGGCTTTTTCTTCGGGAGAGGCGAGGCTTGACCCTGTTGGGCTTGGGCAGCCGGAGGAAAGGCACAGATTCGGTTTTGCTCTGTTTGTCTCATGCTTCTGTCAAAACAGGGAGAACCCTTGGTTCAACCCTTGGCAGAAAGGAACATGGAATTAGGATCTACCTAATCTTTGGAGATCCTCAAGTTTTGCAATTATCCCGGCAAGAGACCCCAAACCAAGCATCAGCTGCTTTTCCCTTACCGTAAGAACCCCTAGTGTGTCCACACTGTTTGGGGAATGAAACCAACTTCTTCTCCGTTGGCCTGGCCGAGTTCTCCCAAACCACTTAGAGACATCAGAAAGGGGTGCAATCGGCTCTACGAGCGAACCTGTCAGAGTTGGGAGAAAGAGGACTCAACTCTGCCCCTCAACCTTCGTATTCACCCGGGGGTTTTGCATGTCGAGACTTACCCTCACGCGCCATGTGACGAGATGCCAAAGACGTGAAGACCCAACGACCGGAGAGATTTTCGCTATAGGCTTGATGATGCTTTTCATTCAGAACCCGAGGCATGCGAAGACCGAAAAAGACCGAAGAAGAGCGATGTAGTTTGATGTCTTCTCCATGGAGGATGGCTCGAACTAGAGTCAATTGGTACAACAATCCACAGGGAGTAGATCAGTGGCCCTCCGGTCTTAGTTGATCAAAGATTTAGGTGGGCTGAAGTGACCATTCAGATTGGTGAGAACCTGTTACTGAGCCAAGTTCACTTTTTCTTCTCCCCCACAATGATTGGATCAGTTACTTTGTAGCTTTTTCGGTCTCCAAACTTTGCAAAAAAGAAGCCAAACCATGTCTATGTCTTTGGGCGTCTCGCGTGTCTTCTCGAATGCTCGTCCCCACAACGGCTGCCCAGGTGAAAACTCAAGCCGGCCAAGACATCTTCGATTCGAAGCCGTGCGCTTCTGTGCAGTTCGGGCGGGATTCGACCTATTCATTCAGACAAGGACGAAAACACAGAAAGAAAGGTCCAAAAAGGTCTAAAGAACAAAAGAGAAAAGACACGCAAAGGAAAAACAGAAAGGACAAGAACATACATAAATCAAGTCAATGCCACAAGCACACCAAGACATTACCAAAGTATAGCCAGGGGAAGCTTTTCTCCATTTGAACCCATGCATGTATAGAAAAAGGGACAGCTGACTGTCACAAGTTCCGATTCCACTAACACCGAAAAAAACAGTAGACATCATCCAATACTTTTGTTGGAAACGCAAAACTTGTCAAATTGTCCAAAAGTGATCATTGTCAAAAAAATAAAGGAATAGACTGGATCTTTCTTGTTGTGCTTCGGATGTTCCATGTGTTTTGAGATGATCCACGAGGATTCTGACCGCCCAACGCCAACACCAACGACGGCGTGTGCTCCGGCTCCGGGTGACGAAGAAGCAAACTTCTGCCGCCAGATCCAGAGATCCAGAGATCCATTGCCATACAGGGTGCGATCTGGCGTCATCGGACTCCACCTTTTTGATGGGAAATATTAATCTTTTTCACAACTGGACATGTCTTCTTCTTGGTACCAAACTTCCGGCTCCTGATTTGGGCAAGTTAAGATTGATGGCACGTCCAGCAGTTTCTGTAGCGCTTTCCTACTAAGAGAGTCATGTTTTTGAAACTCTTCCAAGAAACCCAGCTTGTTCAAAGCCCAAACACCTCGAGGTGTTAGGGCGCATCTCTTTGCCACTTCCAGTTGGCTCCAGGTTTGAGCCTCGTCGTTTGGGCTCGTTTGTCTCCGTGGCACCAGTCCGCACCCGAACAGTGAACGCTTTGACTCGGCCAAAGCGGAAGAAAGGCCAAGGCGCCAAGGCCCCGATAATTCTGACGCGAGGAGAGTCCGGTGAGTCATCTGGACAGACACACCCTAATGAAAAATTGATAAAATAGATAGATTTTATGTAGATTCAAGAAAGGATTTCATGGTGGTTGGCTTGGCTGGTTGATCGGAAGGCTGGTTGCATTACAGAACTCTTCCAGATCTTCTACCTTAAACTCATGGCACCCCCAAATCATGGAACCAACATCTTGCGCTGTCCACAGAACCATGGACATGTGCCAGAATGCGAGAGGGGGTCGGGATTCCATATCAACACAGCCAAACAATTCATCCGATTCACGGTCACAGCTTCCTCTGAGTGCTCGCTTACTTTGGTCCTGTTCAATGTTCCCTTGCAGGCTGGTGCATTTGATGATGGCATGGAGAATTGAACGACGGACCAAAGATCCAAAAGTAAACAAAGACCCAATGAGGCCCGATTCTAGAACGAACAGACCAAAACACAAAAACACACTAAAGCGAACATAGTAACATAAAAACACGACCAAAGAAGTCAAATGAATTGACACGGAATCTCCACGGGCAGAGTTGCCCTTGTCTAAAACCAGAGCACAAGTAGGCCATAAATCCAATCGGAGTATTGAAAGGGATTGCCACTGGCTGTCTGCACCGCTGTGGCAAAGGGCCTTTGTTGTGGATGGTGGATCTTGGCCACCGAACATGATGCCTTTGGGAGGTGACACCCGTGAAACCTGTTTTGAACGATCGTGCCATCTAGCTTGGTCTGTCCACGTCCATCTCAGTCACCTCCACTGTTTCTGCTGCGCAGCACGGGCCCTTCATCACAGGTTTCCCTGAAAAAAAACAACACGTGTGAGATTGATCACCCCGAGGTGGCTGCGACCCCCCCAAATCAAATGTATCGGTTTCTAGTGCCTCCGAAGGAGTTGTCGATATTTGCATCAAACGTGTGCGCCTTGTTGCCTGGTTGTGATGCCTCCCGGTGTATTTCTGAAGGCCTGAAACATAGGAAAGCACCTCAGTGACCTTTGGATAGACTTGGGCCAATGGGGTTCACTTTTTAAGCTCTTTTTGTTTGTTTTTTCTTTATCTTTTCTTGTTCCCGGTATTGTTCCCTTTAGACCTTCCTTCCTTCTTTCTACCTTCTCTTTCTTCCTCCCCAAAAAAGAAAAAATGTCGGAAACTAAAAGATCATATACTTCACACATCTTCATACTATCTCAGTGCGGACCCCAAGCGGGCCCAGCCCTTTGCGCAGCGCAGCCAGCGCAGCTGCGATGCTTTCGCTCAGGACTGCCGTCCAGGGATCTTCGCACCTGGACGGAGACTCAGGCAGCGAAGATCCTGCTTGTGCTGCCAAGCATGGTTCTCTATTTGTTTTTCCTAAGACTTCTATCTTCCTCAACATGGATATGACTGATCCCTTTTATCCCCTTTTCCTCAAAACTTTTTGGACATTTCTTTTCCATTTTCTTTCCACGCATGGATGACACCATAGTCCTGACATGGTGCCTTGGAGAATCTGATGGGTCACAGTCATTCGGAAAAAGGGGGGTTTCAACCTCATCCTCAGTGTTTCAAATTCAACTGGTACACTGAATTTCAGGTACTGCCGGTGGTGCAGAAGCACCAACCTGCATAAAACTATCTGTCTAGTATCAAATATATCATGACCCGTCAACCGGAATACTGGCGAGTCTTTACTCTGTGGAACCCTGGCTCACGCATGGAACTGACCAAGTTGACAAACCCGTCATCGAAGAATTTGGTGGTAGAACAAGTACAAACAAAACCATACAGGCCGACAGCAGGGTAGAAGAACAACAAAGACACTTTGACAAACGGTTCCTCGTTGTCAAGGATGGTGGCTCATTATTCAGGCACGGACCGTTGTGAATTTGTGTGTGCAAACATTTCGTGGCGCTAAGCCCCCCAAGTGCTTTCGATCAACGGAATCCATCGCATGGTCCTGGACACAAATGCAGTAGCAGGTTGGAGGCCATCGCTTCTAGGGTGGAGGTCATGGCAATTACGGTGAAGGTCATCGCTGGTAGGTTGGAGGCCGTCGGTTCAGGGGTGGAGGCCATTGCTATTAGGGAGGGAGTTCCCGGCCGGCCGGAGACTCGCGGGGTGTGAACCCACGTTCTTTGACTTGAGGCTCGGCAAATTCTGGGTGTGTTGAGTGCGAAACCGATCTGGCACATCATCGTTGAGCAGCGAAAAGCTTTCGGCCTGTGATGGCCTGGAAGACGAGTACCTTCTTGGTCTGCCCCTTCTTGGTCTGGCCCTTGGCAGCCTGGCCCTTGGCAGCCTGGCCCTTGGCAGCTGGCTTCTTGGTCTGGCCTGGCTCTTGGCAGCTGGCTTCTTGGCTGGCTCCTTGGTCTTGGCCTTGTTGAGCTGGTCCTGGAGCCAGTCCTGGTGGAGCATTGCACCTCCATGGCGCAGGGACGCCCTCCATGGGAACCCACACTGGTTGCAAGTGCTCTTCCATGCTCCACTCTTCCACTCTTCATGCTGGAGACCCTTCCTCATGAAAATCCAGGACCCACACTGGCACTGGAGCAGGATGTCCCGGCAACTCACTGAACGCTTGCAAGAAGCGCAGGATACTCGTGATTGCAGGCTCGAAACGCAAAATCTAGAGCGCAACGCACTCGCTTGCAGGTTGAGGCAAGAATGCAAGCTGCTTGGTTTATGTGTTGATAGTCAACCCACAAACGAAGGATAGGATCTGACCCGCAAGGCGCCTGCGTCACCCACATGTAGTCTGCAAAACTTGTGGCCTGGAAGAGGCCGATTTTGACAGCCAGTGACGCAGTGGGACTTCAGGATCTTGCAAGTAAGTCCAAACTCCGTCATCAATGTTGTGACACAAGCGGCCACAAATCTTTGCGTTGCCATCAATTCCTAGCCTTTGAAAGTTGCATTTGGAGCAGGAATGCTGTAGCAACCACCGTTCTCGGAAAGCAGCAGAGTCAACATCAATAATATTAGGCGCGCGCTAGGCCTCAAGCTCTCGACGATGCGACGGCCACACTAAAGCTAAAGATTCGGGGCCTAACAAGTGAACAGAGGTGTGCGTGACCCAGCAAGAACTCAGCTCTCGTTCGAGGGCATCTTGGGAGAACTTAAAATCCCGGAGCGGTGCCTGCACCTTGCAAGTCCCTGAAAAGCTGCACCACAGTGCAGAATTGGATCCGAAATTTGTTTCAACGGAGGACGGCTATGCGTGGCTCAGCACGTTTAGTCCTTGATTTGTTTGTGGGACCTTCGAAGAAACGGAACAGTTGCTGCGCTGCAGTCGAAATGAGCACGCGTGAGTGTGAGTGTGAGGCATGAAGGAAAGGCGTGAGGAAGGAAGTGTAGCGCGCACCGGAGGGCACCTCTTGTACCTGTCACGAAATCTGCACTCGAGGTTCACAAAAGTGCTGCAACGAAATCGGCACTTAAGTGCTGCGCCTGCCAGGAAATCGGCACTCGAGGTTCACAAAGTGCTCCGCCTGCAACGAAATCTGCACTTCGAGGTTCACAAAGTGCTGTGCCTGCCGCGAAATCTGCACTTCGAGGCTCACAACGTGCTGTGCCTGCGACGAAATCTGCACTTCGAGGTTCACAAAGTGCTGTGCCTGCCATGAACTCTGCACACCGAGGCTCACAAAGTCCTGCGCTTGTCATGTACTCTGCACTTCGAGGTTCACAACGTGCTGCGCCTGCCACGAAATCTGCACTTTGAGGTTCACAAAGTGCTGCGCCTGTCACGAAATCTGCACTTCGAGGTTCACAAAGTGCTGCCCTTGCTGCGAAATCTGCACTTCGAGGTTCACAAAGTGCTGCGCTGGCACTTCGAGGTTCACAAAGCGCTGCCCCTGCCGCGAAATCTGCACTTCGAGGTTCACAAAGTGCTGCGCCGGCCACGAAATCTGCACCTCGAGTTTCACAAAGTGCTATGCCTGCCACGAATTCGAGGTTCACAAAGTGCTGTGCCTGCCGCGAAATCTGCACTTCGAGGTTCACAATTGCTGCGCCTGCCGGGAACTCTGCACTTTGAGGTTCACAAAGTGCTGTGCCTGTCACGAAATCTGGAAAGTGCTGTGCCTGCCACGAAATCTGCTCTTCGAGGTTCACAAAGCGCTGTGCCTGCCGCGAAATCTGCACTTCGAGGTTCACAAAGTTCTGTGCCTGCCCACTTTGAGGTTCACAAAGTGCTGCGCCTGTCACGAAATCTGCACTTCGAGGTTCACAAAGTGCTGTGCCTGCAATGAGCTCTGCGCGTCAAGGTTCACAATGTGCTGCGCCTGCCACGAAATCGGCAAAGGAGCCACATGTCCAAACGTCATCACTTGTCACGAAATCAGAGCGCCTCGAAGATCACCATGTCCAAAGTGTTGTGGCTGACACGAAATCTGCATTTCGAAGCAAAATCGCTCCGATCCCTTGCGCCTGTCACGAAAAGTCGACTTTGGACCACGAAAACACGGTGTCCCTTGCACCTGCGACGAAAAGTGACCACCATGTGCGAAAATGAGCATGGCACCACAACGAAGGCGCAGTCGCTAGGAGCACCCGCCGCGGGCCCCCAGATTTTGCGAGCCCGCGCCGTCGAAATGCACGTTGACGATTTCGAGAAGCGTGAATGTACTGCAAACAGCAGCGAATTAGCCGGACACGGCCGCACGTCGCAGCGATCTAACAGCTGCCTTTCTATAACCGTGAGAACCGCTAAGTGTGTCCACACTTTTTGGGGAAAACATATTTGCAACTTTTTGTGCGACTTTAAGGTTCAGGGGTCAATCGTGAGCTATTCGCAATCCAGCTTGATCAGCGACTTTTCTCGTTGTCACATTTCTTTCTCGCAGGTGTCCGCGCATTTCTTCAAGTTGAAACTGGCAGTGCGACAATATGTTGAGGAGTTTGCCGCTGTGTCGCCGACCAGTGATCCTCTGACTGGTTCCTTGCCAGTGGACGAAGCCTACAACGGCGAGCTTTGTGGAAATGCGCATGGGTGTTCGCCTGGCATTTGAAGCGCGTCCCCTCGAAAAGAGCTGATGGTTTGGTGGGGGAGGTTGATATGAGCCACGCTGAAGCCGACAAGTACAGGAGATTTCAAAAACTACTCAACCAATCCGCTTGGGCATTCTTGCGCTAGAACAGGTCCAATGAGTTTGCCTGCACCGATGACGAAACTAGCAGATCTAGCCTTGCAATGCAATCTTGGATTGTGGTCTTGCGGAAATTCCAGAAGCACCTCTAATAAACATTGAGTCATCAAACCCATTTTTTGACTACATATCCAGGCTGAAGCCTTATTAATCAATGACATGAGATCAAGAACATAGAGTTAAACTCGAATGTGTTGAGGTGTGCACATGTGTGTCTGAAGCTTAGTCAGTCTACAATAAACACTCTTACCAAAACCACCTGTTTGTACAGGAAAATGGTTGAGTGAGTGTGAGAGTGAGTGAGGGTGTGAATGAAGGTTCACAAAGTGCTGCCCCTTCCGCGAAATCTGCGCCAGCCACGAAATCTGCTCTTCGAGGTTCACAAAGTGCTGCGCCTGCCACGAACTCTGCACTTTGAGGTTCACAAAGTGCTGCGCCTGCCACGAAATCTGCACTTCGAGGTTCCCAAAGTGCTGTGCCTGTCACGAAATCTGCGCTTCGAGGTTCACAAAGTGCTGCGCCTGCCACGAAATCTGCACTTCGAGGTTCCCAAAGTGCTGTGCCTGTCACGAAATCTGCGCTTCGAGGTTCACAAAGTGCTGTGCCTGCCACGAAATCTGCACTTCGAGGTTCACAAAGTGCTGCGCCTGCCACAAAATCTGCACTTCGAGGTTCACAAAGTGCTACGCCTGCCACGAAATCTGCACTTTGAGGTTCACAAAGCGCTGCGCCTGCCACGAAATGTGCACTTCAAGATTCACATGCCGCAGCCCTGCCAAAGCGTTTCGCCGCAAGAACGCTTCCAAAGACAACATCCAGATACCAAAACGCAGCTTTCGCGCGAGATTTCCCCAGATTTTGCGCCCGCAGGCGCTTGAACTTGGCAGTGATGCGGCGACGCCCACCTTCAGTTGAGTTGCAACACCTGATGCATGCAAGGCGACTTGCATTTGAGACTCAGAACAGTGCTCTCCCAATGCTCGGGTAGCTTTGATCTCATCAACAATCCAACCCCGCACCTTCTTCGTGCAAGGTGTGGCGCTGTGCTGGCCTGCGTAGTGGATCAAGGACTCATTGTCAGTGGAAAGCAAATGCAATGCGTAGCTATTTGTCTTCGTGGATTGAATCGTTCATGGCGCTTGAAGGCTGCGCGTCGGTGTAAGTCTCTCAGAGACAGTTCTGCATCAACACTGAGGTTGGGCTGCGCGCGCCAAAGTAAAAGCTCTGGCATCCCTTCAATCACTGCGGCGCGCGTATAGACTGACATGCCGTGTGCAGTCCAAGTGGCGAATGACTGGCAAAGTAATCTGAAACGTGCAAGATGGTGCAAAAACAGACTACTGCAGCTGAATGCCTCTTGCAAGCTCGAGCTCCGCGTGTCTCTGGCCTCGATGCCCACGGTCAGTCTACTCGTGCCACAGACAGGACGGACAGGACAGACAAAACAAATCCCTTCATAAGTCAATCAATGGAAAAATATTGCTTCTTATTTATTTTCTTCCTCTTATTTTAATTCGTTTGTTCTCGCCGGTTCATTTCTTACGGTTACAGCAGTAGCAGTAGCAGTAGCAGTAGCAGTAGTAGTAGTAGTAGTAGTAGTAGTAGTAGTGGTAGTAGTAGTAGTAGTAGCAGTAGCAGTTAGTAGTAGTTAGTAGTAGTTAGTAGTAGTTAGTAGTAGTTAGTAGTAGTTAGTAGTAGCTAGTAGTAGTTAGTGGTAGTAAGTAGTAGTATTTAGTAGTAAGTAGTAGTAAGTAGTAGTAAGTGGTAGTCAGTAGTAGTCGAGGTGTCGCGCATCCGTGACCGGCTAATTCGCTGCTATTTACAGTAAATGAATGAATTTACAGTACATTCATGCCCCTCGAAATCCTCAAAGTGCATTTCGACTGCGCAGGCGCGCAGAATCTGGTGGGCTGGCGCGGATGCTTGTCGCGACTGCGCTCTCGTTGTGGTGCCGCGCAATTTTTCGGGCATGGTGAGCAAGGGAAAGCTCAATGCCTGGCAAATGAACAGGCGTAGTAGCGATGGCCTCCAACCTAGCGATGACAGAAGTGGGGAGGGATCGGGTTTCAACCGAGAACCGCGAACCGGCCAACCGGGACCCCGCCGGCTGAACCCGGGTCAACCGGCTGAACCGGCCAACCGGGTCAGTTGAGGCGGCCAAGGTTGAGCCGGCAAGCCGGAACCAAAACCCGGCCAACCGAGAAACGGTAGTAGTAGTGGTGCGCCGGTTGGGCCGGCGGACGAGTAGGAGGAGCAGTGGTGGTGGGGGTCGACGCTGGAAAAGGTGGGATGCAAACGCACAACCAACTGGCGCAGAACCTACCTGCGACGCCCCTCTCAGCCCTTTCACTACGATTCACCAACCAAAACCATATCCTTTTCGCCCACTTTGTCTAAGAACTTGAAACCCAAGACCAACCCCATCGCGGCCCTCTCGCCTTCAGCGCCCAAGCTCCTGAGTGGTTTTGGCCAGAGACATGGAGAAAAATGGGTGAGGAGGTGGTTTGGATCTGAGGGCAAGAAACACCATCAGGGGCCAGGGGTGCATCAAAAAGCACAAAAGACCACTTGAAACCTGGTTTTCCATGGATTCCCTCCAAACAAGAAGAGGATTCTGGAAGGATGTGCTTCTTTCCAGAAAAAGGATCATCTGACCACATCTCCATCAACACATCAAGGCCATTGCTATTAAGGTTGGAGGCCATCGCTATTGGTGTAGGCCCTTTGTTTGGCCCGGAGGGAGGTGACTGTGGCACTGCCGGCGCTTCTGCCTCGCGCGTCACTCCTTTGCAGCTCCCGGAGCGCCTTGGCCGCCGGATTCGCCTGGAGAGGAGGTCGCAATTCGGGGCCCAAGGACCGATGAAGAGCGTGGGATGGACATTTTCAATTGTGGGTCAGACCAGGTATTGAGACTCCAATGGAAATTTCTCATACCCAACTGGAGCCAATCAGATCCCAACAGCCAACAAACGAACTCACAAGTTAGGCTTCATCTTGGAAAATGATCGGGCATAGATCCATCAACCTGCTTGACTTTGAAGCTTTCTGCTTGCACCAGCAAAGACAGAGTGAGGTCACTCACCCTCCCGACCTGTTACCCCTCGGCCCAGGAGTTCCCATCCTTGGCCGATGAATCCCCTCGAATGGCCACTGTGTACCTTCGCACCAGTGGCCTGGACGACCCTGGAAACGCCCCTCCGGTCGTTGTGAACAGCAGTAATTTTGTTCTGAGATTGGAAGGGAAACGCCCAGAAAAATGCACCCGGCATGTTGCTTGACAGGCCATTCAAGTTGCAGGCCATCGCGAGTAATGTAGTCTCTTGATCGTCTATTTTCATTTCATCTTTTGGTTCGCCCTGAGGTCACCCTTCCCGACGTCGAACACAGCGAGATCCCCTCCTGGTCACCGGCGACGGAGGGGCGGGCCTCAGACGCTCAGACGTCGAACGTTCGGCTTGGCACCCCCAAACGACGGACGGGTGGTGCATCTGGTAAACCAAAATTTACGTCATAGCCTTGATACACAACATGAACGCGGAGACTTTGACCTCCAAAACATCATCTCATAGGGATGGTTTGTCAAGTCTTCCACGCAAACAAAACATATCGTGTTCACAAACAGGGCCTCAGTGTCCTGTTTGTAGTGGGCCAGGGGAAGAGCAGCCAGGTCTCCGGCCACAAAACATGAAGTCTTCCAACTTGTGACATTGGATGTAGCGATCTGAAGAAACCACATTGGATCGTCGAAACCCAATAGCAACCCCACAGCCTCTAACAGAAATGGTTTCACCAACGGAAACCGTTAGCCAAACCACCCCCCCCACACCCGACTCACACCGCGTGTTCTGGAACCTCCGGGGCCGACAGCGGCCCATTCTTCAGGCTTCCGGGCCAAGAAGGACTTGGTGATGCCCACCGTGGCCCAGTTGTTCCTCCCCCTGCTCACGACGTCACATACGAGCGGCCAACAAGTCGATGAGCCACGTCTACCCGAACGGACGTGTTCCAATTGAGGCCCGATGTTCGCTCGAAGAAAGGGAGACGTGATCCAACGGACCAAAGCCAGGAGGTCGTTTCATTCGACACATCTCAGAACACCCAGAGGGGTCTTGGCGGAGCCACTGGAGTTCGGAACTCGTGTCTGACTCAAAAAATCCCTCGGTCCTCGGTCGTTTAAGCACTCTCATCGAATACTCCTCTTCCCCAGCTCTTCTTTGGGCTCTCCACAACACACGAGAACACACACACACACACAACTCTCTGCTGCAACGGCGTTCTTCACTCCTTCAGGGTTTGCTCGAAAAAGATCCTTCGACAAACCGACTGAAGATGAAGTTGTTTAAAGGATCGATCTATGTACAAAGGACAAAGGTTCTCTGAGTGAGGTTCAGAGGTGACGGATCCCCCCAAAAACAAGACCTCGTTTGGGTGCGACACCCAGCAAAAAATGTTCAATACCAAACATCCAACATCGACATACTCCCGTTCTGCCGCAGCCCCACATGTGGGTGTGTATTTAGAATAGGGAAGCTCCCAGGCAACCCTCCGGCAGATTTCGGACGACCAGTCTACACAGCCAGGGCGGAGAAAGCGGGCTCAAAAACACACTCATGTCCCATGTCTCCCTCCCTGAGCCCTGTCACCTCATCTTGCGGGATGGGGTGAGAGCATTCTCAAACCTCGGAGAGCCACCGGAGGACGGACATAAGCTGTCGTCAACGATCTCTTGTTTGAACGGCTTCTTTAAAACCACCCGGGAGAAAAACCCAAACGAAGCCTGAACATGGACCGTTGAAACACTCTTTTCCTCTACTACCCGACGTGGTTTTCAAGTTTCATGATAATCTTCCCAAAGCTTATATATATATATATATGTCTTTGAAAAGATCAACACACCCCCAATCGTCGACCGTTTTCATGTGCACCGCCGGGTGGGCATGTTGCTCCATCTTCCCTCCCAACGAAACAAAGACCAAAAGGTCCCCACCAGACCTCCCTCTGCCTCACCAGACTCCAAAACAGAGAGAGACTCCTTTTCCGGCCGAGCGGCCATTGGTAGCCAAGGACTTGAGAGGCTGTGGGCCGCTTGGTCACGTCCTTGTTGAGCCTCGGCCACCAACACACCGCTTAGAGCGGGACGTGAGACGGGCGTTCTCTTTCGGAGCGGAGCACACCGACCCCTCTCACCGACCGGCTGAAACGGCCGAGGTTGGTGAAAGGGACGGCAGAAGCCGAGTGGGTGGCTTTCTTTGATGGTGACTTGAGGCCCAAGTGACTTCTCTCATTGACTGAAGGGGTCCAAGGGAAGAATGAAAACGAAGACAAGCCAGGTTTTCTTCCTGGGCAGTATCGACAAAGGAGATCAACCCCCAGGTCTTTGAACTTCAAATCGGTTGCGACTTCCACACGTCGCGGCTTTCACATCTCGCAGATATGACGACGCCCCGTTCATCTCGCAGCCGGTGACAGCCCAATCGGAGTCAAGACCTCCCAGCCCAATTTTTCAGACACATGAGACACATGGGATTTCAATCCACATGGCACAGGGAGGTACGTACAAAACGAACAAACACACACACACACACACTTATAGAAATGCGTACTGACTTGAAAGCGATTTGCCACACGCCGGCCTAGGTTACCATTTCCTAAGAGTGCAAGTAAGAACCACCGGAGCCTGGAGGTCTTCAAAAGGAGAGAGGTCCAAAAGCTCAAGTCGAGATCGAGACGACAGGATGATGTCGTACGTTCATGTCTGCCGCATGCACTAGCCCTTTACGGAAAATTAAAAGTTGATGCAGGCACGTCCAACTGGCTTCACTGGTACCTTCGTTGGACACAGTCCCAGTGAAATGCTGTGTCCCCCTGCTAAGGGAAAATTCAAGCGGTAAAACAATCCAAACGGAACCTCGTGACTCCAGAGGGTACACACACACACACACGATGCAAACGATGCACTCCATGTGGAACGAGATGTGACCAAGAAGCAACCAAAGAGTCAACCATCCGTTTTGGTGTTGACCAGACCATGGGTCTGCCAACGACACACATGGTCTGCACCAGTTGAAGATGAAGCACATCAATCAGGACATGAAACAGGTGATTTATTGCTCATCGAGAATCGGAAGCAGCAGACCTCACAACAGAGCTTTATGTCAAAACTTCTGTCGACTGGAAACCAAACCCGGTTTCTTTCAACCACCCTGGTGTAGAAGAACACTGGACGAGCCAAGAAAATCAAGGTTTCACATCACAGCTTTCACACGAACAGCACAGCTTTTGGCTTTTTTCCACTGCTTTCCGCTGCTCTGAGGATCGAAACGAGGTCTTGTTCCGCGGCTCACCGATGCAGCTGATCACCGATGCTTTTCTCGGTCTGGTGCCACGAGTGACTGGGTGTGTCCTGATCATGCTCCGACACAAAAGGCGAACAGAAACTATCAGCTTGATCTGGTTGGTGAAGTCTGTCCTCCAGATACCCCTCAGAGATACACCATGTATTGTATGTTATTCAATAAAGCTTCCCTTTGCTTCCAGCTAGCAAGCAAAGGGCTCCGTTTTGCAGAAAGACCCACAGTTCGCAAATTCTGCTAAAGGCAGAAGTGGGTTTAGGCAATCTTTAAAGTGCATTTATTCAAAGTTTCCCATGAATGCCAAAATAGCTGGTGCATGGATGTTCGATTCCTCCCAACTAGCCAATAGGTTTCGATTTCTCACCAATTGACCCTCTCTTGACTTTGCTCCTCAGAATGAATGTCGCTGTGAAGAAATAGACACGATTTCCAACACATTTCTATTAGGGTATACTAGGACACATATAATAGGGTATATTAGGGTATAGAAATATTTCAACACATTTCATTTCAACAATAGTGGCATTTTTCGTTACTTTTTCATCCGTTGAGGTCACTATTGTACTATCCAGACTATCCCACATCACTGAGTAACAGCTCGTGCTGTGTTCCCTTCTAATGGCTTCACTTGGTCCTGTAGTGCAGCGACTTTTCGAGTAACCACGTACAATGCCTTGCTTTTGGGACTTTCAGACGCATACGGCAAGTTTGCAGGTTACCTGGTAGATGCATCCTGTAGCTCTACTTCTCCCAACGCTAACATTACGCTCATTCATGACCTTTCTGCGTTTGAACAACCTGTCTCGGTTTCTGGGGGATTTCTTGAGGATTCCTAAGTTGCAAACATTGGACATTCTCAGCTCAAGTTAGTTGGCTCTCCTGTCATACTCTCCAAACGACACACCCGACATCGCGAGGATGTCTCATCGCCGCAGCCGGTAGGCCACATAAGACCCTCCAGCGATAGCAGCTGCCGCAGCAGTGAAGAGGCTGAGCCAACAAAGGGCTGAGATTCCTGAGATGCCAAGAGAGGAATAGTGACCAAACATGGGGTACCCATCTTGGATAGTCCAACTAGTTCATGAAAAACCTGTGTTGGTGGCTCTCAAAGTTGGAAACTCTCCAACGGAATTTGCTCCAAGGAATACGGAACTAAAACAACCGAAAGGACATGAAATTGGGTTCAACGCCCCGTGGCTTCAAAAAGGGCCATGTAGGTTACACCCCGGTACCAGAACCCGGTTCACCTCTAGCCGATGCTGGGGGTTCGTCCCCCTGGCCTTCCCAAACAAACGTCTTGAACTCGATGTTTCTCGCCACGATTTCCCACCCTTCCCACTTACTCCGGGAATCCCTTACAAGAACACGTCTTGCCCCTTCTTCCATCTGTTCGTACCATGTTGTGCTGAAACATCCATTCCCCCAAAGAGGTGACCTGCACACCTGCGGGGCCTCGGCCCCTCCTTCCCGTCCTCATCCAGGTCTCCCTCCGCCTCCGGCACCGGCGCTTTCCGCCGCGCGCGCCGCGCCGCGCGCTCGGCCACCGGGTCCGGCTCCGGCTCCGGGGTGCCTCGGGGCGGTCATAACGTAAGGCCAGGAGCTACGTTCGGTTCGCGTCCGATTGCTCCGTTCGTAGCGAACCTTGTCATTTACGAATGGTTTACATGGTCTAAAACCTCTTCCAAGGCCCTGGAAAACTGATGTTGAACCTGGTTTAAGATGATCATGCCATCTGATAGTCAGAGAATCAAATAGTTTGTCTTTCCGATCTGATAGGGATTACATTCCGAATCTAATCCCGCACCACCAGAGACTTCCAAGGTATACGGTATACGATCTATCGAGATACCGAGAACCACCCAACCAGGGCATTCCCATGGATTCCCTCTTCATTCTGCGGGCTTCAAGCCAATTCATGCCCTTTCAATCCCTTTCCGACCTCCTTCCACTCCAATCCATACCCTCCACCCTTTTTTGATTTATTATCCACTCTCCAATCCAACTGAATTTTTCTTCAGATCGTCCGTCAGACCGACTCGTTAGACCTCACCGACCCTCCCTCCGGCCTTTTCCGTCGGCCTTTCCCACCGAAGGCGCTTTCGATGATCTGCAGCTTGCTCCGGAGCTCCTCCAACTCCGCCGTGCCGCGGAGCCCCTCGGGCGCCTCGCCCTTGGCGGCCTCGAAGACCTCCTTCATGAGCTCCTCACCAAACCTCGAGCACGGGCACTGGAGAACGGCGAGTGGCGCAAAGGGTGGAAAACAGGTAGAAAAACATGTAGGACACTCCTTGTTTGCTTGTTTGTTTCTTTCATTTTGTGGTTGATACATGGTTTAGTAATGTTTAAGAAGCATATTCTTCGTTCCTTCTTGCTATTCTTAATATGCCATGAATGCCATCTGCACAGGATTACCATTGGTGAACTATTGGTGAAATCCCGAATCCTTGCGGTACCTGACAGCAAGAATCGGCGAGTACCCAGAACACTTTGGACCTGTTCAGAACACGTACGTCCGGGAGTTCATGGTTCAAACACCCTTTAAGGTGCTCGAACAAACCCAGCTTGCCTGGGATCAGCTCCAATGAACAACATACCACGCACAAAAAACACTAGAAGGTTGATGTACCACTCCAACAAGAGATTACAAAGCACCTATACGACACTTATTGGCTTTTGATAAGGAATCGTCCTGGCTCGAAGAACATCAACCTCCGAATCCCACCACATACCCACACACACACACACACTTACTTGAAGTCGCGTTCATCCTCCTCACCCTGCCCTCTTCACCCCGCCCACCCGCAGCCTGTTCTGCACTTTGAAGATGGCGGTCTCAAACTTCACCTCCGCGCGCACCGAGTGCCATGAGGGACGGTGGACGAGGGGGGCAGGAGCATGGCACCTGTTTTCCCCCAATTAGCCTCCTCTTGACATGCGGCGGAAAGACACATTTCTTATCAAGTCAACTCAGTTGGTTGCTGCCAATCCCCAAGACCACCCCAAAACCGCCAGAAAACCTTCCTTCCATCCAGGGTTTCCCTCGCGCCACCGTCGACGCGCCCGGACCGCGCCGTCTACCCGCCTGGGCCATGACCTTCTGCTGCTGCGCCTCCTCGTTGTCCATGGCGTCGATCTCCGGGGGCCGCTCCGACGGCAAGGCCTTGATCACCTGGGCGATGGGCCGCCCCCGGTGGCCCGTGGTGAGCGGCGCTGGCCCGTTTGGAAAACCAAAGAAGACCCAAACAGCAGATCATCCTATCACGGAATGTCTAAGTCTGTCTGTGCTTTGTGGTTTGCGGCAGAGTCTTTGGTGGGCTTGTACTTCTTGTGGCCATGGTCAGAGAGTGCTGGCGTAACGGGGAAGACTACAGCATCGGGGAGCCTCGATCTATCAAAAAGACCAAGCAAAGACCTTGGAGTCAAATTTATATCAACCAGCACCACGGAAAGGGTGTCCATTAATAATCATTAATAGCCCCTTAGAGGTTAAGGGGTGTCCATTAACCCCTTGGGGGTCCTGGAATGAACATGTCCATTTTTACACCTTCCATCTTCACCCCCAAAGACCCACACCGCCGCCGTGTTCGTTCCTCGCCTCCTTGGCGCACAGGAGCAGCTGTTCCGCCTTGCTGAGCTGCTGCACCGACGCGTCCTGCGAGTTGTCCAAGGTGCCCTGCGCGAGGAGAGTCGGCGGCGAAGCTGACGGAGAAAGGGTGGGAGGGTGGAGCGTGGTGGGTGGAAAGGAAGTGGATCTCATCCACTTGGACCGTGGTGGGGGTGGATAAGAGAAATTCGGGGAGCCTGAATCACAGATCTCTCATGATGTATATTGTACCATATTGTACCTTGGAGTTTGTAGCAAGCTCAGGTTGTCTGACCAAAAACCTTCCTTTGCCCTCGGATCGCCGAATCGTTGCTTCAACTCACTGCTGCAAACGCCTCCGCAGTGGTAGACCGAGAGCAGTCGACCCGCTTTCTGGAAGACGAATCGCTTGACCAACCACTTGACCAAGCCAAGGTGGCCACCATTCCAGTGCCGAAAAGGGTCTTGGGTAGAGCCGATGCCGAACACGTGCGGTCACCGAGCCGAGCTCGCCAATTCGTCCCTTGACGATCTGCTCGGATCGAACATGGTTTCTCGTCACGACGCCACACGCGGGCAACGCCAAGGATGCGATCGCACGGAGCAAGCTGGGCAGCTTCAGCTGCTTCTGCTGGACACGTTCCGAGATCTGTGCGAAAGGATGAAGTGGGCCTTGACACTCCTTTGCATCTTGGCTTTTGGGCGGGCACCATAGCAACGGAACCTCTCCTCTGTATCTAGGACCTGACAATGGCCACCGTTCAAATCGGTGACTGCTGTCCAGAGTGAACAGCTCTGGCAGTATGACCTCACGTTCCTCCTGGTCGGTGGTTTAGTGGTTCGTACTTCAAGTGGATTGGGTATCATTCCCGAACTTCTCAGCTGGAGCTATCTAGACCTACGCAAAGCAAACTCCCTCCTTCTACAAGGTCTTCGGGGTTTGGCGTCCGCAGGCCACAGCCCACGAGCGTCCTTTCAAGGGGGACCCTTTGAAGACTATCCCGACTCTTCCGATGTTGAGAGCTTGGTGCCCCTTTTTGCTTCCTTGAAGAAGTGCTCGAACTACTGATTGGGTGTCTAGATTTTTATGGAAACTCAACTTCAAAGCATCATGGCCGCAACAACAATCTTCCAATTTCCACTGCAGCCATTGGTCCCGAAGGGAGGACGACCTGAGTGGCTCGTGGAGAAATCCCATGCGATTCGTGTTCAGCAACGCGTGTTCTGCCCGTAGAGAAGCCGAAGGGGCCAAAGCATGACATCCAGCTTCCAGCTGCCTTTTGGACCAAAAGACCCCCCAAGATCGGTGAAAGTTTGACCTGCTTTCAGACGAGACATGGTCAGTCACCCTCATCCCGCCGAGATCGTCAGGAGAATGATGTGTTTGTGGGACATTGCCCTGTCCGCTTGTAGTGTTCAGGGATTCCGTTTAGCCTGATGGAAGCTTCCAGGAACCGTGGGAATGCGCCGTTTGTTGCGCATGTTGCTCAGTCCACGCGGAGGCGAAGCCAAGTGGTCAAGCAGGCCGTGCTTAAAATTCTTCATCCTGGTCACGGCTCCTCCATAGGATGCCATGCAGCGCAATGAGAAATCCACAACCATACACAAGTGAAATGAGAAATCCTTCCAAATCTGACTACCAAATCAATCACAAACATCAAACATCTCCTTGAAACCCAAACTCCTTCCCCGCCGGGATCTCACATCACGACGAAGACGACTACTCCACCACGATCGACGATCAGTGATCGGCCTTGGCCATTTTGCAGTAGCCTTCTCCGCCGAAGGTCTCGGGTCTTTCCAACTTCATGTAAGGACAACCTGAGCTTTGTCCAAGGCATTCGGCATTCGGCCTTCCGGGCCAAAGGTTCGTCAGGGAAAGTGATTCGCAGTTCCAACCAGGTAGATGACCCTTCAGGAACCTTGCAGAATTCCACATGTTCTCATCAGCACGGGACACTCGCGCGAAACCGTGCGAGGCCGTTGTAGGGTTCCCTTCAGGGTTCCAGCCGGCTCTGTGGTGGAGTCTGCAGTCCCAGTGGCACAAATGCAAGCCTTCGTCGTCCACCTTTGTGATGTAAGGCACCGGCGGTGGTGGCGGCATGGTGACCGGAATGTCCTCCATCACCACCTGCGTCTGAGGTCGTTCCGCCGAATTCGCGCGGAGGGGAACTGACCCAGGCGTCTTGGGAGACCACGGACATCGGTGACTGTAGACGGGTTGGTGAATGAAGGCCTTTCCTTATTCCGTATGTTTTTCTCTTTGCTTCTTTTTTGGACTTGTCAACCCTTAACTCAGAAGACTTCTTCAACAAGATTGCGCTGCAAATGACCTTGCAGGTGAGATGATCCTCTCTCCGAGAATAACATCTTGTGAATGATTGGACAGTATCTGACTTCCAAGCCGTTTTGATCTGGAACATGAAGGTGAACTGATTTTTTTCACCTGTTTTTGTTTAGTTGGAAAACCACTCCCCAAAGAACGGTTTTGCAGATTGATCCACTGACTGGACCGGGTATTTTCCTTTGACACAGGGAAAGACGAACATTCCCTCCCCCTGAATGAACCACTACGTACGCAGCCTAGCATCGAAACGCAGAAGTCTCTCCAAAAGTCCCTCCGCCCCAGGGAAAATATCGTAGCTGGTGCAGCAGCACTCCCACGTGTTCCACTCAAAATTCCCGAGTAGCCACAGATCCCAGACATGTGGATCTTTTCTTTTCAATACGGGATAATCACGGCCACCTCCAACCACGGCAGGATGGGTTTTTAGAGAGCCACGGAACCACCCCGTTTCCCTGCCCAAAACCAACGCAAAGCGTGACTGACACCTCGTTCCCTTCTCTTTGGTCTCTTCATTCTTAGGGAACCAACGGATCACCTGTGACATCCGCTGTTTCCACTTACCAAAAGCCCGCCATGAACACAAACCCACAAACGGCCCAGGGCGCACGTCCCAGCGCTACGCGCGATGCACCTGGATGTCCAAATGCATGGGGCTCTGTGAGGCGTCGACCCAAAATCGACCCATGATGGACCGGCCGAGCACTTGCACACGCACCTGGCGGCGGTTGCGGACGGACGCGCGTCCTAAGCAGAGCATGCGGACTGGATCAGCTTGATTTGCATGGTTTTCAGATGATACAGAAGGTTCGGATGTTCCTCCAATTTTTCTCTCCACTTGTTCATTTCTTCAAACGAGCTGGACCAGCGGTTGAGGCCAGTCCAACTTGCTTTCTTACTTGCCGACATATTGACAGACGATGCCCTGTAGACGGCGCTCATGTGCAAATCGTCTCTAGATTGAAACCTCCCTCCACATACCTGCCCCTTGTCCCCAAAGGATAAGGACCAACGCTTCTTGGGACTCAATACGGAACAATACGAGTTGGGTACGGTTGGTTTCGTTGCGGAGGTCCCGGCGCGCGTCATCGTCGTTGGCTTCGTGGGTCCTAACCGCTTCGTCGGACCTTTTAGCATCGATGGGTTGAGCACCAAAGGTGGAAACGAAAGAAACGACGGCTGACCGCCTTCGTCCTTGGCAACCAAAACGTCTCATCCTTTGGCCGTCCGGGTAACATCATTGTCCACATTGTGAGGCATTGGCCACCAAATCGATGGCCTGACTCAGGATGAGTTCGGAGATCACCTCCTTTTGAATTCACCCCTGGAGTGGTCCCACATCGACCCAGGTCCTCATCGTCAACCGGAAGTCCCTCGCTCATCGATGCATCAACGGACCCCCGCCTCGCGAGAGTTCAAAAACTCGATCTCCTGCTCATAGCCTCGGCGAGATGGGACACCCGGGAAACACCAGAGTGCGGGTAGTGAGATGAAGAAAAAAGGATGGAAAAACACACACACACACACATGGAACAAACCAATTCAACCCACCCGATTTCTTGGTCTTCAGACACCAGGGATTTCACGGTTTTCTCCCCACGGGTGGAACTCGGAGATCCCAACGGTGGATGTCCTTCTCCCGAAGGAAGGGGAGGGGCAAAGGAACGGGACGTTGTACATGCGTACATGCTCGTACCGACCGAACTTGGTGGTACAGGTCAATACCAACAAATAGTAAAAGGCGACTTGCAGAGAGACAGTCCAAGCGGGGATGGCATTTCCCCGACCAGCCCAGCCCGTGAAGCTGACGGAAGGTTTCTGTACCCGCATGGCGCTAAGACTGAGTGAGGCAACTTGCCTCCCCGTCCAGGAAAGATGAAGTTACACTTGTGCGGTGTCCAAGCACGGCTTCCAACTTCGGGCTGCAAGCTCCTTTGGGAGGGACTCCTCCAGCAATTTCGAATCACGGTCACCATTTTCTTCTAAGACACCCAGCGCTTGCTGGGAGAACACGCAAAGCATTCCAAATATATTTTAGCCAATCAAAGGTATTTCCCTTGGCGAAAGGTGTTCCCAACCCGGTACTTTTTGAGCTCCCCCGTTCGTAGCGTCCTTGTTCCTAGTAGTAAGGCCAGGAGCCCTGTTCTTCCACAGTCCAGAAACCACAGACTTTCCGTCCCTCGAACATCTTGACACGCGACTGTCACAGACTTGCAGGCCAAGCCACCTCCCAAGGCCTCTGTCACTTTCCCATGCCAACAGCCCTGCAGTTGGCAGATCAGCCAACGATCTTTCGCCTAGGTGCTGCTGGTTGCTTCAAAGCGGCCCTTTTCTTTGGGCCGAAGCAGAATTCACCACAGGCTTCTCTTGCTCTGATGTTTTCTGATTGTCGAAACCCTAAACCCAAAGAACACCTTTGGAGTTCCTCTCAAACCGCCAATCCAGCCATGTCGTGAACCATACAACCACCGAACCCATAAGCGCTTTTCAGGCGATGGAGTTTGGCTTTCGCTGTGGTTTCAAACCCCACCCTCAAACCTGTCGCAGCCTCGAACAGGTCACTTGTGGTGATTGGTTGGAGGGTTGTGGCTGATACATATCCGGCGACTGAGCATATGGCCCAAAATGATGTTTTCGACGCTTAACACACATAAAAAACTCACTCCGGACATTCTTTGTTGTCTTTCCTTTCCCTAGACTTCCAAAGACCATCAAAAGAAAGGTTGACCTGGTTTGTAGTGTGAAGTCCTTAGTATGGGTTGTTCGCTAAGGGTCAAGTGTCAAGGCTATTCAATCCATGGTGGGCCAAGATTCCATTCTCAACCTTTCCACACCACAATTTTAGCAACGCAGATCCTTGGTTAGCCAAAAACCAACCCGTCCACCATCGCCTGAGGCGCTGGAAACCCAGTCCATCCCGACGCCTTCCGCCTCGCCTCATGGCTGGTCTTCTGCAGCGCTGCGGCATCGTCTTGGGAACACTTCCTCGGGCGGCTCCCGCGCGCAGGGAGTTAGTTGGTTCGGTCCGGTAACGCGAGCCCTCTTTTTTGGGCAAAACATGAAGGACCCAGGGATGGCTTGCACAGTCCCAAATGGAGGTGAATCAATTGTGGGGCTCAACGTTTACAAAAGATTCAACAAAACCTGCCCTCCGAAAGCTTCAGGATCCCGGGAACCAAGGTGTGCTGTGCACCAAATCCTCTGAGAGATCACTTCGTCGTCGTCCAGCGTCTATTTATATGCAACATGGATGGTTGCGGCAAAGTGCCTGTGAGCCACGCGGGTCCTGGTACTGCAGGCACGTTAACATAATCTGTAAACCGGGCAACACTTGGCTGTGGTTGAATGCGGGCCAACATGAAGCAGGAATGGGCCCCCGACCAAAGCAATCTATGAGCGAACTTCCGACCATGCGAATCTAACTATGGCGAAACGGGTGCCCCCGAAGCCTCTGGCAAATCGAATCACGAGTAGATTTGCCAGAGTCCATGAGGTCCATATTTTGAAGGATTTCCTACATGAAAACACGCACGTACCGAACAACATCTCAAGCTATAGCAGGCTGTGAGGGGATGGTCATGGTCGGTGCTGTTCCTCTTCAGATTCTTTGGAAACACTTACACCTCTGCCAGATTCAAGAGGTCTTCCATCGGCCCAGCGTCGTGGTGCCCTGCTCCAAAATGGCGAAAGCCTCTTCCCAGCGCTTCAACTCTTGTAGAGCTGCAGCTTGTCGGGAATATCCTTGGTCAAAGCCGAAGACTACCTGCGCGTTTTTACATGCCTATGAATCCTTGTTGGAAGTCTTGCAGGTGAAGGTGACTGGTTAACTTGACTCTGCTACAATATGAAAACAAGAACCCTTCCTTTACACTGCAGGTGTTGTTGCCTGTCTATATTTTCGAATCTCTGTCAGGCAGAAAGGGCATGTCTCTACAGCAAAATCATGGGCCTCACAAGAAGGCCGCGTGTTGCCGATGGCGATGAACACCTGCAGCTGTCGCTGTAGTTTGGACACGGCAGAGAGGCGTCAATCTGCTTACGTCTCGGTGTTGCTGAGCGCTGATAGACGCCAACACCACACAACTGCAGAGTACCGAGGATTTGTGTTTTCATCTGCTGGACACGTGCAAGTCTGTGTTGCTGCCTTCGACACCCTTGCCCTGCATTTCCAGTCCTGTCCTCGACCCCAGCGTGGTTGTACTCAGGTCGTCTAGATCTGGCGCATGGATCCAGTCTGGCGTAAGGCTGTTTCAATGGAGCCATTGCAAATCATGATGTGGAATGGAAATCCATTATCTTCCACATAAAGGAGCTCCCATGTCTTCTTGAGCGAACTAGCAGATCTGCTGAAAATTCTGGCGCTCCAAACGAAGCTGTTGGATACGCGTGCTAAGCTTGCTTAAAGCCTCCTCATGTGTAGCATCGGGTCTATGCTTTCCTTCTAGGGCTCGATACAGCTGCCGCATCATCAGACCAAAGGCAGATGACGCAAGCGCCAGGCAGTATGATGATAGAACCGGACTTGACTAAGAACGTGCTCGTAAGTGACTGCTAGCTGCGCATTCTGAACAACTCCCTGGAAGTCAGTACGCTGAGTTTGTCAATTCTATGAAAAGACTTGCAAAGGCCGTCGGCAGAAGCTCGCGGGCCCTGGAAGCGATCTTGACCAAAAGAAAGTCGGCGCGCGATACGGGCAAACTGGGGTGCACTGGAAGCATTGTCCATCAAGTGTAACTTGAAATAATTCCTTCTTGCTCACATTCACCTTTTCGCTGTGGTTCAAAAGTGCCTGAGTTCATTCAACAACCTCACTATAGAACACCCCCCAATTTGATGTCCAACCAGGGTACCAGGCAAGTCATTTGAATAGACCGCCCAAACTGGGAACCGCGTCCCACAAGCTCCAGACAACTTTTTGTCAATGGGGGTGAACCCCGCCTCGGCCGATCCTTCTCTCCAAGCACTTCCGCGTCCCACCCACCGCTGGTCAGAACGTGTCGGGCCATGTTGCGTTGATGGTCAGCACTTCGGGACACTGACAGTGATGCCCAAGGTTCCTTCGCATCCAACGGCAGAGTTGTCCCTATTGAAAAAACGATCCGCCTTTCCTGCTACAACGTTTTGGAAAATTAGAAGTTGTTCCGTTGTTCTCTTAATTTGAACTCGGAGCCAGCGAGCAAAGACCTCAGCAGATGTCCGTCACGGCGGCGGAGACGAACTGCGTCGCTTGCTCAAGGGCACTCGCGTGGACGGGTACAGGGCCGATCGCAGAGCCGCCCTGCTTTCTGACCTTGCTTCACGACATCGATTGTAGCTTGCGCCGTCGGAACCCCTGATGCTCGCCGACGGTACGAAGGTGGTGTGCAAGTCATATGTTAGCACTCGCAAGCGGAGCGAGTCCCCGCAGCGGCAGGCAAAGCGGAGCGTTGCCGCACCTCACGAAGCGAGGCCTCAGCCAAGGACGGGCCAGATCCGCCGACCGTCTGATCAGCCTACGCTGGCAAAACAGTCCCAAGAGATGATGCAGAGCCGAGGCTGTAGAGGCTGGCCAAGGCATCAATTTGCCTGTGGTGAGTGACCTGTATGGATGAACATGAAAACCCACAAACAGTCTCCAACTCAGCCTTCAACAAACAAGGGGTGACTGCAACTCCTCCACGTCAGTCCAAACATTTTGGCCTCCAACGGTCAAACGGACAGGAAGCTGAACACCCAAAACCAAAACAACTGACTGGGGTGATATATTCGGCAGCATCCGAGAGCTCAGTGAGCCAGGTCAAAAGCGCCATGGCATATGTGGCACCAAACTCATGGAAAAACAAATTCGTGGAAAAAGGGGAGCCGGAGCCAATGGAATGGAATCCCGATAGTCACCGGCGTTCACAAGACAGTCCCCCGCCATCCGAACTCACAGGCTCAGGCTGTTCAGCGTGGTCACGATCAAGGCTTTTTTGTGCAAGCGCCAGAAGAAATCGCTGGTAGCTTGAGCTCAGAGCAATGTCGGTCATATAGAGCACAGGCAGCGTGGTAGAGCTTCAGGTGGCAGCTGTGTCGGCCACTTGATTCCAATGAGCCATCCATGCACCATGAGAGCTGTCCTGCAGGGTTTCGTCAAGAGCCATGACCTTAGTAATTCGAAGGGAGTGCAAAATGCTTTTAAAGGCCTTGGTTCGTCTTGGTTCAACCAGGTGTCAGGCACCTGGCGCAGTCGCGTGACTGTTCCCAGACTGTTGACCACGTACTCCGAATCACACCAGACATGAATGGCAATCAGAAATTCGCAAGCCTAGCAAATGGCCTTGCAGACCGCATACAATTCAGCGCGATCGTTATGCTGCCAGACACCGGGCAAAATGTCAGAGGCTACCACAGCTTCTGCATCCGATGACACAACTGCACATGCTGCGAGTGACGTGTCCGGTGTAGTCGGCCAGTGACAAGTACCATCAGAAAACAGATTATGCTCATGTGTGGAGGTAGGATGAACATGCCAGGAGTGCACGTGCTCCCGGCTCCAAGCATACAAAGCTCTGTTGACCGGTGTCCAGCCATGGTGCGAGAGAGCCACCGGAACTGAATCCCAATGTTCAACACAACATGTGTGATGCAGCCGTGCACGGTCATAATATGGACAATGCAATGCACGATGCTGCAACGAATCAGGGGCAGCACAATGTGGAGTGTAGGGAGGATCGAACTTGGACTTAAAGGAATCCAACTAGGCCGTACCACCCCGGATACAAGCTAAAAGTTCAGCCTCGGTGCGCCCAATACCGGGCATCTGCTGCGGCAGACCAACTCCGCTGCAACACGCTGCGCCCACACCTCTTTGAGCAGCCACGTTAAGGCCTTGCGGTCCAAGAAGTGGAGATCAAAGGTCAGTCCGTGATGCGCATAAAGAACCAAATCAGCAGAAATGCTCCAACCAAACATGTCACAGTATCGAAACAACTTGCCAAGTGGTCCTGCAGCGCGCGTGGGCAAACCCGACTCAACAAAAGCCCGCAAGCCTGGTCTCCTCCTTGAGACTCCAACGCTGCCCTTTGCACAAGTTCCAAGACAAACGACAATGTTTTATGGGAACGTTGTCGTTTACTTCTAAAGCATGTCGCATGCTCGCATACATTGTAATGGCACGCAGTGCCATTTCTCACGCCAATGTGTCGTGTGAGTGATAGAGTTGTCCTGATGATATTGGATGTTGCCTATAAAGCTACACACCAATGGCAAAAAGATGCTTTGCGCTATGTACGGTGGCGTTTTCGTGTCACGGGGTCGTTTTCACGCTACGGTGTTGTTTTTTGGCACGGGGTCGTGTTAATACCACGTGGCGTTTTCGCGCAAACGCGCCGTTTGAGTTAAAGTTGTCCAACATGTGGACGGGTAACGTTGTGAATGTCTTGTGTAGAACCTATAGGTAGCACACTGCAATGTAACCACTTTGCACTCATGCCGCTTTCGTGTCACTTGGTCGTTTTCACGCTACGGTGGCGTTTTCTTGCCACGGGGTCGTTTTCATGATACGGTGGCGTTTTCGTGCCGCAGGGTCGTTTTCATGCTACGGTGGCGTTTTTACAGCTGAAAACATATTGGGCTGATAACCTTGTTGTGTGACCTATAGGAGAAAGATACTGCAAAAACACAAGCTTTGCTTTGCATTGGTGGCGTTTTCGTGCCACACGTCGTTTTCGTGATCTAGTGTCGTTTTTCGCCGTGTCGTGTCGTTTGAACTTCTGCTTGCAGCATCTTTATTTGTGGCACACCACATGGGAGGTGTCGCGATGGAGGCCTTTTTCTTTTGCAACACAAAGCTGACTTAGCTCAGAAGGTATTCTTCTAGTTTCTGCAGTGTTTGCATCTGTGCCTTGTGCCTCACGATGGAGGTTGAACGCAAACATCTTTCATACTAGGGACTTTACACATCACGTGTTAGGCCTCAAAGAATGGATTGGAACCTTTACAAAAAGTATGACTCACCAGTTAAAGACCTTTAAGCGTCAACAATGTTCTTAAAACAGGTTGCACAGACTTCCAACTTTGTTCCTTAGCTCACCGTCCCTTGAGCGTGTGGCAATGGGCCGGCCATTGCTTTTTCCACAAGGCGAGGTTGGTCGCCACGCGCTTCAGACCCCTACAGGAACTCAGGCTCCAGGAAACCCTTTGCGTTGAAGGTTTGAAGAAAACATAACAACGCAACAAGTGAGGTTTCTGTTCAGGCGTCGACCTTAAGTTCCTGCTTCTTATATTCATGAAGACACATGGCAAGTGTGAGAAAATATCTCTGGTATACTCGTGCTGTACATGAGCGACCGTGACATTTAACTGCCACTGCCTTTATCTTTCCAAGAAATGACTCCTCCTGGAAGGTATGAAAGAGGTTTGCGTTCAACCTCCATCGTGACACCTCCCATGCGGTGTGCCACAAATAATGATGTTTGCATCTAATTTTGTACATCATCACTCTTCTTTTGAAGTAGTGGTCAGCCAACCAAGCAAATCTGACCAGATGCATGTGGAGGCAGTGCGATGCTTCCTTGGCCTCATCTTCAGAGAGGACAAGGCCGCCACGGTCGAACACTGCGATGCACCGTTGGAGGTTGTATGCTGTGTACGCCAGCATATTGAGCAATTCGTCCTGGGGCAATGGTCTGAGGAGACAGTGTTTTTTGTTTAATCATGGGAAGAAGGCCAATTGAATTCTATCGGTGTGTAAAAGAAACATCGCAACAAACATCTTAGAG